CCAGTGTTCTTAACCATTGAGCCATCTCTCCAGCCCCTAAAGTTGACTACTGCAAGAGACTTAGTGCACCTCATTCATTGGCTACACTCTTCTAGGTCCCACCGCCTCTAGAGTGATGAACACCCACACCTCCCTGTGTCCATCATCTCTGGTCAAGGCCATAAAATGACCTTTCCTGTCTATCTGGGGTTGGGTCAGGGATAGGTATAATTATGGCCAAATGCCGGTTTTTAAGATTATAAAATATTTGTGGCTTTACACTCCCAGCATATCGTGGGCTAGATTTCCTGACCCCTGTGATTGGCTTCTGTGTGTTTGGGGGCAGGGTTTCATGTAGCCCAGGTTAGTCTTGAAATCACTACATAGCTGAGGATTAACTTGAACTCCAGATTCTATAGTCTTTAGCTGGTGATAGCCCATTTTAGGAATCTGGGCTCCATCAAGCTAGGCGAGTGTTCTATCAGCTGAGCTGTATCTCCAACTCTCTTTGTTTTCTTTTAGGCTTTGGTGCTGGGATTGAACCATGATTCTTACTCTTGGGCACATACTGTGCCAATGAACTATGTACCTCATACCCCAAGCACATCTTTGTTAATATACATTTCAGAGTTTAAAGCATAACCTGACTGAAGTGGGAGGGCCAGACCCCTGTGGGTTCTGTCAAGTATGTCCTTTTCCTTGCTCCTAAGAAAGGCAAGAAAAGATGGCCTTGGTGGGTAATGCACTGCGGCCATGTCTGAGGACCTGAGTCCAAACCCTGGAATCCACATGCTAGGAGAGAGCCAAATGTCGCAAGCTGTCCTCTGATCTTCACATGTGTACGACACACACACACAAACACATACACATTATTTTTAAAAAGACAGTGTGGTGGTTAGATTGAAATGACCCCCAAAGTCTTGGGTATTTGAATACTTGGTCTCTAGCTGGTGTTGCTGTTTCTTGAAAGTGTGTCACCAGAGATGGGCTTTGAGAGTATAAAGGCTAGAGCCATTCTGAGTCTTTTCATTCTGTTTGTGCTTGCTGTTCAAGATGTGAACCTTAATCTGCTGTTCTAGTTGCTGTGTCTGCTGCATCGACATGGCCTCTTGGCCCTCTGGAATCATAAGCCAAGTAAAGTCTTTCTTCTGTAAGTTGCCTTGGCAATATTGTCTTATCACGGTTATGGAAAAGCACTAACACAGATGACCTCTCATGTCCTGTGGGTCTGGCATGGCCTAGTGTTAGACAGAACACCATGAAGACAGCTCCTGGCTTCTTGCCATCAGCCTGAAGGTGAGGTCATGGCTGAGAGTCCTGCAGGTGTGATAAAGCCAATGCTGGAGCACTTGAGGGGCACTCCCTGAGCCTACCTTTCTGAGCTGTCTCCGCTATACAGAACATGTTTCTATGGCTTTTGAGTCTACTTTTTATGTTTCTGGTCAAGTGACCCGATGACACAGGTCTTGGATGCTGTGGTGGTTTGAATATGCTTGGCCCATACCGAGTGGCCTTGTTAGAGGAGGTGTGTCCCTGTGGGGGTGAGCTTTGAGACCCTTCTTGTAACCATGTGCAAGCCAGTCTTTTCCTGTTTCCTTTGGGTGAAGATATAGAATTTTCAGCCATGTCCGCCTGGATGCTGCCATGTTCCCACCTTGATGATACTGGACTGAACCTCAGAACCTGTAAGCCAGTCCCAATAAAATGTTGTCCTTTGTAAGAGTTGCCTTGGTCATGGTGTCTGTTCACAGCAATGGAAGCCCTAACTATGACAGACACTGAGGGAGTGCTGAGCCTCTGTGACCAACGACAATGCTCCTGGGGGAGAGGACAGCAGGAAGGAGAGAAGGGTTAAGACCTGTGTCACTCTAGAGTCACTGCCAGCTTGAAGACACATTAGGGCTGGGCCTATGAAGACCTGCTCTAACTGCTGAGTTCAAGCTCCTGGCCGACACTGGATTTTCTAAAAACTCAACTCTGTGCCCCTGTCAAGAAAAGACAATCTCCTTCCTTGGTCCTCCTTGGCCTTTAAGTTCTCCCAAAGGAAGATTGAGACACAGCACTAGAGGATCTAAGGGTAAAGGTCCATCCTTTTGTGGTTTTGTTTGTTTTTTTTGAGATAGGGTTTCTCTGTGTAGCCCTGGCTGTCCTGGAACTCACTCTGTAGACCAGGCCAGCCTCCAAGTCAGAGATCTTCCTGCCTCTGCCTCCTAAGTGCTGGGATTAAAGGCGTGCGCCCAGCTTAAGAGTCCATTCTTAACTTCTGTTTGTCTGAGGGCCCAGTTTGCAGTGGTTTAAGGGGCTTTACCAAAGCAGCCTTGACTCCAACCAACCTCAACCTCACAGGTCACCTTGACCTCACAGGCCACCTGCACACATGACCAACTGCCTAGGGAATCATGCTCTACCGTAGCTGGACACAGAAGCACTGATCCATTTACTCAGTTTCCCACAAGGTCAGTATCAAGCCCCAGGCCTTGGAGGAAATCAGCAGTAGAAGCTGGGGCAGCCGGGGCAGAATGGAGAGCACTGGCCGCCACTACCGAGCCATCTCTGCGGCCCATAAAGACTTTGTTATTTATTTTTAATTTATGTGTATACGTGTTTTGCCTAAATGTATATATGTGACTCTTTTGAGATCAGTGCCTGTGGAGGCCAGAAAAGGGTAGTAGATCCCCTGGAACTGGAGTTGCAGGTGGTTGTGAGGCACTCTATGTGCCTGTGGGAACTGGGCCATGGTTCCTGCAAAAGCAGTGAGTGCTCTTAACTGCTAAGCTGTCTCTCTGCCCAAGCGTGCTTGTCTGTAGGTTCTTTCTTCTATCGTCCTCCTTCTTCGACTACTACTTCTTTTATAAATAAAAGAGAGGGACTCTGTATGTAGTTGTGGCTAGCCTGGGACTCGCAATGTGAAGTTCTTCTATTTTAAAAACAAAAACTGGTGGTGGCGGTGGCGGTGGCACACGCCTTTAATCCCAGTACTTGGGAGGCAGAGGCAGGTGGATTTCTGAGTTCGAGGCCAGCCTGGTCTACAGAGTGAGTTCCAGGACAGCCAGGGATACACAGAGAAACCCTGGCTTTAAAAAAACAAACAAACAAACAAACAAACACCACCACCACCAACAACAAAAGCAAAAAGCCAACCAACTAACTAAATAAACTGTTCTAAAAAGCAGAAGATTTTCGGGTTGGGTGTAGTTGAGTAGGCGTGGTACTCGTGAGCATACACAAAGCCCTGGACTTGATTCCAGGCACGTATGCCTGTGTGACAGACACTGTACACCTGGGATCCCAGCACGCAGACGGCTGAGACAGGAGCTCAGGCGGGTCCTTGTCGATGTGATGGGTTTGAAGCCAGCCTGGGTTCCCTGAACCCCTGAGACAAGGGGATGGGGATATGTTGTGAATGAGAAGACAAGTACGCTGAGCCCGTGTTTCTCCGCCACTTCATCCACCGCAGCATGGCTCCTCACCGGGCTGACTACCAACTCAACACTGAGCCAAATGACCGCTCCCTTCCCTGAAGCTGCTTCCTGTCAGCTCTGTGTTCAAGGAGGGCACTAAACGTAACCAGAGGGCCGAGACCTGACCAAGCCCAAGGTCAGGGAGAGATGGGAACACGGAGCCTACGGCATGGAACCCGAGAAGAGAGGTGTTGGCTTGGAAGAGCTGGAATCACAGGAGAAAGTCCTAGGGAGGCTGACCCCTCCCCTGCCAGCCATGAATGTAACTGTGGGTAGTGTCTCCAGGGGACTACCCACATGGTGACGATCTGGAAGAGCTCAAAATTCTTGGAGCAGGAGATGATCCAGGCTAGCCCTGGCTAGTCTCAGGCTTCACTCCTATCCAGACTACCTCCTTGTACAGACATATTAGTCAAGGGGATTGACTTTGCTGAGCCCCAGTTTTACTTCTGCAAAATGGGGATAATCAATTTATGTCATGAAGCTGCTGGGAAGACTCTCTATATCAGGCCTGAGGCTGATGGCACAGAACAGAGGACTTGGAAAAAACACGCATACACATGTGTCTAGTCTACTATTTTTTTGTTTTAAGTAGCGAACGCAACGCAGCCTTTCTCAGGCTGGCTTTCCAATAAATTGCTGGAGCAAACAGACATTTTCGGCCAAAGTGGAAACCTGACCTGGACCTCTCACCTAAACAAAAGCCAAAATAATCAGGGACACTGAGTGCAGCAGCATCCACATTTTTTTTTTTTTAAATGAGGCTGAGGCATGAGGATCTCAATGTAAAGCTTTGCCTGGGATACAGATGCTAACTTAACAGATGAAACAGTGTATCAAAATAAAAGGTTAAGAAAAAAAGGCTAGAGGCGCAGCTCGTCAGTGGAGCCCCTGCCTGGAATCTCCCAGTGAGGGGCTGGGGGCGTGGCTCAGTGGTAGAGCCCCTGCCTAGAATCCCCCAGTGAGGGGCTGGGGGCGTGGCTTAGCGGTAGAGCCCTTGTGAATCATTAGAGAGGTCTTGGCTTAATCTCCACTGTGAAGGGGAGATGGGTAAGAAAATCAAGGACTCAAAATGCCTTAAAGTAAAATGTTTGCTTTATATTAGGAAAAAGAATAGTTTAGACATCAGAAAATATGTTTTGAAAACGACCCTATGAAGATGAAGAAAAGAAAAACTGAAGGCCGCTCCTACAAAGGGCTCTTGAACACTGCAGAGCACTGAGTGGAGTAGAAACTGGGCAGAAGACAGACACTTCACTGGAGAGGACGTGTCGCTGGCAGATCGGCACACAAGATGCTCAGCATGGTTGGCCCTTAGAGCCATGCAAATTACTGCGACAATGAGACAGCACCATGCACCCATCAGAACAGTGAGAATGAAAAAACAAACCGCGGAGACAATGCCACATGGCAGCGAGACCCGGATTACGCATATGCTGCGGGTAGGAACGTGAAACGGACTTGCCACATGGCAGGCAACTGTACTGGGCACCAATCCCAGGTGAATGGAAACTTATTTCTATGAGGAAATGTGTATGCTTGAACATACATGTTACATGTTCACAGCCTGAATATTTATAATGGCCCGAACCCAGAAACTCAAGTATTTTTATTTGGGTAGACGATTAACCAATTTTATCAATCAGTTGGACCTTCTCTTAAAGAAAACAAAAAAACAAAACAAAACAAAAAACCTCCGCCCCAAAAAACCCCCAAAACCAACCCCCCAAAGCCCAAAACAACAACAACAAAAACCCTTAAACTTATTTTTTGAGTGAGTGCTTGCCTACATGTGTCTATTTATACCATACATGGGCCTGGTGGCCGAGGAGGTCAGAGGAGGGATCAGATCCCCTGGATCTGGGGTCACAGACAGTTGTGAGCTGCCGTGTGGGTGCCGGGAACTGAGCCTGGGTCCCCCTTGAGAGCAGCCAGTGCCTCCACTGCTCCCTTACTTTGTATTTTTGAGACTTCCGTCTCATTAAGTTGTCTAGGCTGACCTTGGACCTGCTCTGTATCCCAGGTTAGCTGTGACCTCTTGACCCTCCTGCTTTTGACTCTTAGGTTTTCATTTTCTTTTTCTGCCTTACAGTGGAGAGTGGCTGGGACTGCAGGCCTGGGACACCAGGCCCAGCACTGTCACATTTGGTATCAGCTAGTTGCTGCCATTTGCAGTCTCGGTCTTTACTGAAGCCCAGTTGCTCCCCCCACCCCCCAGCAAGCTACACATTCCGGAATCTTCTTCGCCTCTCTTTCTTCCTGTCATTTTGCTCGTTCATGCTCCTCCCTCTCTGTGACAAACTCCCATCAATGTCCCCTGGTTCAAACACACTCTTCCTGGCACAGTTCTCCTGAGTGGGGCTATGTTCCGCTCCTCTGTTGATGTGCTTCTCAGCATATGGCTTGTGGGATCTCTCTCTAGCATAAGCAAGGGGGAACAACAGGAACCCTGGCAACTGGGTAGGCCAGACATTCCTCTCCGTACTTTACACACCAGAGGCCTCGGGACGGATGAGGGCTGCACAGTGGCCTCTAGAAGGTAAAACAGAGGCTTGCTCTCCCCCTTGACTTTCTAACAGAGGCTTAGCATCCAACGTGGAGCAGAGTGGGGCTCTACCAGTGAGGACAGAAACTCAGGGTTCGGTCCAGGACTTTGTACGTGGATCAGTCCTCCTTGAGTGAGAACCTCAAGTTTGTTGACCTGGTCCTTGGGCTAGAGTCAAGTGGTTTTGCTTCAAACGAAGTTTTGCTCCTTCCTGTCATCACTTGTAGACTAAGAATTTTCCTGTTGTCAGCCCCAGTACCCTGTGATGGAGACACGGAGCAGACCCGCAAGCTGCCAATCTTGGAGCAAACTCACGCTCTCCTCACTTGTGCATATGGATATGTGCTATGCCCGAGTGGCTGGTCTCTACCATAGCTGGCATGCCCCTGTGGCTGGCCTCTATCTGTCTGTCTTTCTGTGTTCTCTGTCTCCTCTTCTCCTCACTTCCTCTTTTTTAATCTCTCTTAGCTGGACTAAGAGAATGGAGGTTGCCTGTGGCCACAGTCACGTCAGGGACCACAGAGGGAGCTGAGGGGCAGAGCTGGTCTCTCCCTCCCTTGGGACAGGCTTCCAGGAGGAGCACAGCTCAGGTTAGGAGGCTGGCCTCCCCTGGGGGGTTTCCAGCGAGGAAAAGGCTGGGGCACATGAACAGACTTCTTAGAAACCTGAAAGGAGGTGGCTGGTGGGCTGGTGTGTGCCATTCATAGGGACTGCGGCATTCCAGGGCCCCTGGTCTGGGATAGTGAGGGACAGATCTGAGGGAGGCTGAGTGGACTGAGCACAGTGGTGGGAAGGGTCAGGAGGGATTCAGGATGAGGCTCGCAGATCTACCCGGAGGACAGGGACAGGGTGGGACTGCCACGGACACAGCGACTCAGGAGGACCTGGGATACCTGGTCCTAGAATCACATCTCATGGGGCCTCGAATGGCATACTGTCCAGTCTGGGTTTGTTCCAAAGGCGCCGGAGAGCCATGAGGATTTAGGGAAGATGGTTTATGCTGCCAGGTTGGAGTTGGCTCTAGGGGGGAAGGGTGGAATTGGAAAGACCATGTGACTTGGATAATACTGTTTTGGTTTTAGTGTATGGGAACTAGAGACAGATGAATGGGATGCTGGGGAGAGGATGGTTTGCTCAGAAAGCAAAAGACAAACAAACAAACAAACAAATGAAACCAAGAGCCAAAGAAAAGTTCTGCCAGATCAGCTTAGCTCTGCTTTTCGTTGTTCAGTTCCTTTGTTCTGAATTTTAAGGAGACGTTGCCAATACCCTGCACCTTTGCAGGAGCAGGCCGTTAACCCCACAACACGGTGGGTGAGATAGTGAGGTGCCTTTCCTAGGAATAAAAACCTGCAGCAGCAATCACCAGATGACATCATTTCAAAAGCAAGGGGAAACTCTGACCTTTCAGGAGCGGGCTTGTATCTTGCGTAGGTGGCAGAGCCTGGGGTGGAGAAGCTCCCGGAAGGCTGTCGATAGGGAGGGACTCTGTCGGCCCCTGCTGGTGACGCTGCAAAAGGGGTTTCTGGGAAGCTGACAGGTCTGGAAAGACACAGGAGAGGGGACAGAGTCAGGGTAAGGGGTCGTCCCTGAAGAGGAAGAGGAGGAAGAGGAGGAAGAGGAGGAAGAAGCCCCTCAACAACAGCCCCGCCCCTCAAGTCCAGTCAAGTTCTGGCTGCTATCTACCCCTTGGATTTGCGTGCAAGGGAGAGGGAAGACAGGAGAGCCCCATCCCTCTTCCTCTGTGCTTGGCACTCAGCTTTGCAGCCAGGACAGGGGCCTGTGGGGACGATTCTCTGCCCTTTCCTGGGAACAAAGATGTTCCTCTGTCTCTTCATTTTAGGAAAATTTATATATATGTATTCATATATATATATTCATATATACATACATAGATATACATGTATATATTCATATATACATATACATATATTCATATATATATATATATATATATATATATATATATATATATATATATACACTTTTTTTTTTTTTCGAGACAGGGTTTCTCTGTGTAGCCCTGGCTGTCCTGGAACTCACTCTGTAGACCAGGCTGGCCTCGAACTCAGAAATCCGCCTGCCTCTGCCTCCCAAGTGCTGGGATTAAAGGCGTGCGCCACCACCGCCCGGCTTAAATATATTTTTTAATTAAAAATTTTTTTAGATATATTTACTTTTATTTGTGTATGACTATTTTGTCTGCATGTATCTATGTATACCACATGGGTGCCTGACGTCTGTGGAGGGCATCGGATCTCTTGGAACTGGAGTTATAATGGTTATGAACCGCCATGTGGGTGCTGGGAACTGAGCCCAGATTCTTGGCAAGAACAAGTGCTTTTTAAGCACAGAGTCATCCTTCCAGCTCCCTTTTTATTTTTGAGACTGAGTCTCACTATGTTGCTCTAGCTGGCCGGGAACCCACTACCTAGACAAGGCTGGCACTGAACTCACTGAGCTCTGTAGCTTGGCTTTTATTACTTTGTGGGTTCCCCTTTCAACCCTGATACTAGATAAGAGAGAAAAAAAAGGGTAAAGAAGAAAGAGACCCCTTGATAAAGTTGGGGGTCAAAAAGGGGGCGGTCCTTAGACTACTTCCTGCTGATTATAGCCAAGTTTGAGCTTCACCATCAAGGTATCTAATTTCTTCTTCTTTGTTGTTTCTTCTTTGCACACAACTACTTAACGGACTGTGACCACCAACCACTTGGGGCCCTATATACCCCTGAAAAGTTCCAGAATTCCAAACGTCACACAACTGCAGATACTATCCACTGCTGGCAAAACCACACCCCTGCTAGAAGACGAGGCAAATCATAGTCAGCTGCTGTGGACGAGCTGAAGCAGCTGAAAAACCCACACCTGGGAATAAAACGAAAACATATATTCTACTTATTTTATGTATAGGGGTACACTATACATACATATATTTTGATCCTGGTGTTTAGTTTATACTCTTCTGTGTTTATGGATACTGAGGGTTGGACCTTGGTCCTTTGGCAGGCTGGGCAAATGCTCTGCCACTGAGAACATCCTCGGCTTACCTTACTTTCATTTCTTTCTTTTTTTTTTTTTTTGGTTTTTCGAGACAGGGTTTCTCTGTGTAGCCCTGGCTGTCCTGGAACTCACTCTGTAGACCAGGCTGGCCTCAAACTCAGAAATCCACCTGCCTCTGCCTCACAAGTGCTGGGATTAAAGGCGTGCACCACCATCACCCGGCTCCCTTTCCTTTCTTTAGAATAGGATCTATCCTTAAACTGAAAGGCCTCCTGCTCCAGACCTCTCAGGAGCCTGGATCTCAGGCCTGGACCAGCAGGCCCAGCGCAGATACCCGCTTGGATGCATTATGTATTAAGAGATGAAGCGTGCTGGGTGTGTAGCCCTCGGTTAAAAATAAGTATAAAAATAGACAGTCAAGCAAGGCAGAACACACCTTTAATCCCAGCACTTGGAAGGCAGAGGCAGCTGGATCTCTGCAGTAAGAGTTTTGGTTTTTTTTAAAACACACATGACTAGAATATATGTTTATATGTTTTCGGGGGCTGGAGAGATGGCTCAGCAGTTACGAGTGCTCTTCCAGAGGTCATGTGTTCAATTCCCAGCAACCACACAGTGGCTCACAACCATCTGTAATGGGACTAGATGCCCTCTTCTGGTGTGTCTGAAGACAGAGACAGTGTACTCACATATATAAAATAAATAAATCTTTAAAAAAATCCAAAGAAGAAAAAAGAAAAATGTCTGAGGGAAGAGAAGAACAGGGGGAGGGATGGCTTGCAGGCAGGTGGGACACTGGACAGCAGTAGTGTCCTGGGGGTCCTTACCTCTTGCTGTGCAGTGGTTGGGACTCTCGGAAGGGCACCATGGGTGTCTGCTTTGGGAGTCGGCTCAGGGACTGGGCATGGCCCGGAGTGGCAGGGGTGGTCCACTTGGTGGTCGGCAGAGAGTTGTGAGAGGCAGGCCCGCTCCACTGCCAGGGAGCATTGCTGCGGTAGGGGGGTCGGCCCCCAGGGGTGGTGGTTTCTGACTCCATCTTGGGTTCCGAAGTATTCATATCATAGGTCTCTGGCCACCCCCTGGAAAAACAAGTTTATGACTTATAAGGTCTGGGCCTGCTAGCACACAGGCCTTGTGCTCGAGAGGACCGGCTGTCTGGTTTACAGTGGGGCCAACTCCAAACCATGGCGATCCACTTTAAAGCCCAAGTGGCGAGTGGCATCTTTCACATTAGGGCCTGAAGCTTACATGGGGCTGTAACTGCTAGACTGAATCTCTTTTTTTTTTTCCTCCAGGTCTTGGCTTCTCTTCGTCCCCTCCCTTTTCTCTGCACCAGGCCTCTAGTCAGCCAGTGTTTTCAACGAACCAGCCCCTCCCGACACCCCAAGCAGTACTTTGGGCCGGAAAAGCCAATGCCCTCAAAAATCAAAGGACAGTCTCTGCCTTGTTCCCTGGAATCTTGAATGCTGCTGGAAGAGAGGCAGGTGACCTACTTTGCAAGGTGGTTTAAAAAAAAAAAAGAAAAAGAAAAAAAAGAAAAGCACATGAAACCCAGAACCCTGGAAATAGATGCAGGCCCGTGTCTGGCTGGTACACGCACTGTAGTGCAGAGATCCAGCCTGGGGCATGGGGATCCAAGCTGGGCTGCCAGCTCTGCTATCCCTGCCACGGTGTGCACCAGCACCGAGCTTACAGAAGGGTGAGCTCAGGAAAAAATCCACCTCTTAGATCATAAGAGCTATGCTCCGAGAGGCAGGTCCAGAGGACTTCATTCCCATGTTCCTTTGAGACCCTCAGGCATGGCTGCTACAGAGCCATGCGGTGGGACCTGAGGACATGTTCCTGTCCCAGGCCCTACTCAGGGTACCTTTCTGCGGTAGTATGGCGGCGCTGGTGCTCAGTGTTCCTTATGGCTGTTTTGGGGATCAGGAGCCCCAGGCGCCAGGTAGAGAACAGTAGGGACACAACCTCTGACAGAGCCACCAGACAGGCCAGGCTGGCAGAGGTGGAGGAAGGCCACCTACCCTGCCTGAGAATTGCTCTGTGCTCTGAGCCAGGCAGATCTCACTCCTGGATGCTGGCATGAGCATGTGATCCACACCCAACCAATCAGAAACGCCTCTCACCTTAGACAAAGTGACTAGTGTAGGATTGTCACAGGCTTTAAGCAGTTCCTATCAGAGCAGTGAGAATAACCTGGGAGACACTTCTGAAATTATTGGGGTGGGGGAACTGGCTTACAGGCGATTCTGCTATGCTCCTCCCAGGGACCTAGTGACGGCTTCTGTCATCGCCTGCCGCAGCCAGGTGTGACCTAGGTGCAGCAGTGTATAAAAAGTACTGCTTGCTCCCCCCCTCACCCCCCTCTTCTGTTTCCATGTGTTCCCGGCTGGGGTGGGTCGGTCTCCCCCCTCCCCTGTCTATCTGTCTCAGTGTGCCCTTCTCTGCCCTCATAGCTGTGCTGCCGTCCGTCTGCCTCTACCACTTCTTCAGGTCCCCCTCCCCCTCCCCTCAAATAAACCTTTATACCAGGTCTGTCACATGGCCTGATTTCTCAGGGGGGTACCTTGGCATGGCCCCCCAGGCACCCCCTTACACCCACAGGCTGCTGCCGCTGCCACCACATTATATTTTACAACAGGGGAGTATAAAGATCTATTTTTGCAGGCGTTGCTATGCTGGGGAGACCCAGTCCAGAGCTGTGTCACTTGTGGTGGGAGATTGACTGAGAATGACAGGCACACAGACACTAAGCTCGAGATCTTGCATTCCGGGTCCTCTGGCCTCCACTTCCTGAGGGCTGGGGTTGCAGGTGCACGCTAGCACATCTGGTTCACGCGGTGCCGGGGCAGTTGAACCCAGGGCCTTGTGCATGTTACCAGTTGAGCTGTATTCTCAGCTCCAGTATATGACCTTTCATAGCTAAAGAAACTGAGGCCGAGAAGTTCAGGAACTTGCTCACACTCATACAGCCGCAATAGCTAGAAACATAGCCGGCCAGCCTGGTACAGAGTGAGTTCCAGGACAGCCAGGGCTACACAGAGAAACCCTGTCTCGAAAAACCAAACAAAACAACGACAACAACAAAAAAAAACATAGCCGGACTGGTGGCACATGTCTTTAAACAGCACTAGGGGAACTGGGGCAGGTAAACCTGAGTTCAAGGCCAGCCGGTCTACATAGAATTCCAGGCCAGCAAGGCTATATGGTGAGACCCAATCTCAAGGAAAAAAAAACAAAACCTTAAACCAAACAAATAAACAAAGCAAGCCAAGTTGGCACGCCACAGCGCTCTCCGCCCTCCCTCTCCAGCTCTCACACACTGGCTGCCCCGTCTTCCTCATGCCCTGAGCCTTGGAGAGGAGGCCTGAGCATCCAACAGCCACGTGACCAAAGCTGACAGTGCCACTAATCACAGGCACCAGTGGGGTTATTTAGAAGATGTTTTGACAGGTACACCATGCCCACTTGGCAAACAGCAGCAGTAGCCTTCTCTAGTGGGGTCTCTGGCCTTCTAAGCCAGAGTGGATTCCCTCCTGTGGAGCGGGCCTCAAAGCCAATCAGAGTCACTGACTGCCCCATGCCCACCCCTTCCCGAGGCTGGCCCTTTCTTCTCAGTCTAGGCTGGCCTCGAACTCAGTGGTCCTTTTCTCAGCTCTTTGAAAGCTGGAGTAATTGTCATGTATTACCCTCACTCTACTGCTTCTTTCTCTTTCCAGTGCTTGTGGGAGAAGCTCACTCTGAACCCTGGCTGGTCTAGAACTCACTGCATAGGTCAGCCTGGCCTTGAAGTCACAGAGACCGCCGTGCATCTGCTTCCTGATGCACAAAGTGCTGGGATTAAAGGTAGCACTACCACATCCAGCTCTGATGGAACCTTCCAGATACCAAGGCTTGTTGTCTGGCATCACTGAGATCCACGTAGGTTCATTAAACTAACTGTAGACTTAAGTGGGCAAGGTTGGGGAGGGGTGTCTGTATTTGTTTTTGTGGACAACACAGTAGAGTGCTGGGGAGATAGTTCAGTGGTTAGGGGCATCTGCTGCTTACTCATGAAGGTCACGGTTCAGATCCCAGCATAGAGTTAGGTAGTTTACAAACACCTGTAACTCCAGCTCCAAGGGACGTTACGCCCTCTTCCGGTGTTAAGGACACCTGCGCACGCACGCACAGCCACAGCGAGCAGCCTCTGCTGGCCGGAAGCAGAGCTTGTCATGGGTCGGCATTCTGGTTAGGTTGGTTTGCTTCTTTGTTCTGGGGCTGTTGTTTCTGATAGGGTCTCATGTAGCTGAGGCTGTCTGGGAACTTGATATAACACAGAGGGGCCTGGCCTTGAATGCCTGACACACACACACCCCCCCCCCCCCCCCGCCTCTACCTTTCAAGTGCTGGGACTCTAGGCGTATAGCCCCAGACCTTGTGTATCTACTTCCAGGTCGGTCTCTCTCTGTAAGACACAAAGGGCTCACTCCGCCCTGTCCACTGTTGTATGCCTAGCAATGCAGACGGAGCTTGCACATACCAGGGAGCCCCACAAACGCCCCCGTCCGTGTTCTGCTGCTTTCACGCTTTGTGCGCCATCTAGAAAATGAGACTAACATACCCACAGTCGCCAGACAGGTGCACACACAGGACTTACCAGGTCCCACAGACTTTCATTGCTACATTTGCCCTGTCATTGGCCCTCTGAAACCGGGCTTCTCAAAGCAGTTCTCAACCTGGAACCCCTTTCTCAGGGGTCGCTTAAGACCATCGGAAAACACAGATATTACATTGTGATTCATAACAGTAACAAGCTTACAGGTATGAGATAGCAAACAAAAATAATTTTATGGTGGGGGGGTCACCACAACACGAGGAACTGTATTAAAGGGTCACAGCATTAGCGAGGTTGAGAACCACTGACTTACAAGGTTCCTTCACCGAGGTCTTGGGTGACTATGCCAGGAGAAACCCTTGCAGCCATCTGGAGGCTGCCAGCCTCGGCCCCGCCTGCCTCTCAGGGATGCTCTTACCGTCGGGGAGTGCCGTCCTCAAAGGGTGGGATGATCACCACCTTCACAGTGACGGAGGTGCGCAGCAGGTCGATCATCTGGTCGTGGCTTAGTGTCACCACCGCCACCTTGCAGATCTCTACCAGTCGGCTGCCTTGCCGGAGGCCAGCCTGCCAGGCAAACCCATAGTCCTCCACTTCAGCCACGGTGCCGTCATACTTCACGTGGAAGCCCAGCTGGCCCAGGCCGTTCCGCCGCAGGGTCATATCCACGGTCTCCCAGCCGTTGGTCATTACCTGTGGGCAGTGCACAGGCGGGATGAGGCTCAGCCGCTCGGCTCAGGCTCTGAAGACCCTTGTCCAATCAGTCCCCTCTGAGAGGGACTGGCGAGTCTCACTCGCCTTCCAGGTGCCACCAGGATCCCAGTCTGGGCTCCTGGGTTCTGGGTAGGAAATATGCACACACCACTCTGTGGCTGGTATTTTAGAGAGTACAGTAGTCGTGGACTGTAGTCTCCAAATATTCCTGCTTCCTCCTTCACCTCTCAGCCCACTGTAGTCAGCTGTGCGAGTGGTGAGCTGAGCAGGCCTGGCCTTTTGGTTGGGGTATTAACTAACTGACTAACTGATTTTGTGGCACTAGGGATGGAATATACGATGACATGTATTCTAAGTAAATGCTCTACACTGAGCCACGCCCCCAGCCCCTCACTGGGGGATTCTAGGCAGGGGCTCTACCACTGAGCCACGCCCCCAGCCCCTCACTGGGGGATTCTAGGCAGGGGCTCTACCGCTAAGCCACGCCCCCAGCCCCTCACTGGGGGATTCTAGGCGGGGGCTCTACCACTGAGCCACGACCCCAGCCCCTCACTGGGGGATTCTAGGCAGGGCTCTACCACTGAGCCACGCCCCCAGCCCCTTACTAGGGGATTCTAGGCAGGGGCTCTACCACTGAGACACGCCCCCAGTCCCTCACTGGGGGTTTCTAGGCAGGGGTTCTCCCACTGAGCCACACCTTAGCCCCTCACTGGTGGGTTCTACGCAAACGTTCTTAACACTGGATGCCATCTTCAACTCCTCACTGACAGTGTGTGGTGCGTGTGTGCGTGCGTGTGTGTGGTGTGTGCACAGGTTTGTCCTCAGACATGTGTATGTATATGTACACACAAGACATCGAGTGTCCTCTCTGGATCTCTGCATTACTCCCTGGAGGCTAGTCTTTCTCTGAGCCTGGAACATGCTGCTTTTTAGCTAGGATGGTGGCCAGAGGACCCCGCTGATTTGTCTGTCCGTCTCTCACGCCCAGTGCTGGAGTAAGAGGTCCACACGGCAAGCCTGGCTTTGGGTGTTGGATGCTGGAGATAAGACCTCAGGTCCTCACACCTTTACAGCGTCCCCACCCCCTCCGAGCCATCTCCCAGTGCCCCCAGCCTTCTCTGTGACTTTTAATTTTTGTTTTGTTTTGTTTTGTTTTGTTTTTCGAGACAGGGTTTCTCTGTGTAGCCCTGGCTGTCCTGGAACTCTCTCTGTAGAGCAGGCTGTCCTTGAACTCACAGAGATCCACCTGCCTCTGCTTCCCAAGTGCTGGGATTAAAGGCGTGCGCCACCACTGCCCGGCTGTGACTTTTAATTTTGAAGCAGCATCTTTCACTGAATTGCCCAGGCTGTCCTAAGATTTTTGTTTTTCCTACCTCAGCCTTTCTCACTAAGGCCTGGGCGAACACTTAATTGCCAGCGTGAGACTGCGTGGGCCTTTTTGGATTCTGCAGTGGTGACTAGTAATATTTTAGATATGGAAGGCTGTCCGGACAGCTGGAGGCCCCAGAGCTAGGAGAGGGTTGGGCAGAGCCCTTGGTCAAACTCAGGATAAACTCTCGCTGTCCTGACCTGCACCATGTCCTAAGTGTTGCAGTTAGTGCGCAGCGTGGTAGGCTACAGTGCTGGGTGACCTTTATTAGCTTGGGGTCTCACGGCACAAACTTCCACTCAGTGGCATTGTTCTTGGAGGTACAAACCTCCCGACATGGAGCAGACCAGGTCACACAGGCCTCACTTCTCATTTTTTTCAGCTTTACGCGTGCGTGATGCCTCAGTGCCTCTGTATGCATGTCAGGCATAAACACACGCTGACTGGAAGCCCCAGGAGTTGGCTTCCAGTCACTAATCTCAGTCTGCCATTAGTGAATCTTCTTGGGATACCAAAAAACTTACCTTTGCTATGCTACCAACCTGCCAGGTAGGATGTGGTCATTGGTGTTACAGTGGCCTGGCCAGAGCAGAGGTCAGCCAGATTTGCTTCCTTTTCTTTATGTGTCTGTGTGCGTGTAGACCTCAGAGCGGTCAGGAGTGTGCTGAGTTAGCCTTTCCCACTTTACTCCCATGAGACAGGCTCTCTTTTTGAACCAGACTAGCTTTCTGAACTAGACTTGATAACAGCAGCCAGCAAGTCCTGCCAATCATCCTGTTTCTGTCCCCCCACATTGGTATAGGTTTGAGCATGGCCACATTTGGCTTTTTATATGGGTGACAGGGAGGTTTGAACTTGGGTCCTCAGGCTTCTGTAGCAAGAGTTCTTACTCACTGAACCATTCTCCCTAGCCTCGGCAACCACTCTCTGAATGCATCTGAGGCCCACTGCTCAGGAAGGAATGGCCAAAAGCCTATGGCTTGGGAGGTCATAAGCCCTAGTGGGAAAGCTATTCTGCTAAACAGAACATAATGTGCCAGTCAAATTGCCTTCTAAATACTCATGTTTTTTCTCATAGGTTAGTACTGCCATCAGCTTTGGTAACAGACGCTTCCTTTTTCAGTGTTTTCCTTGTTCCACGGCTTGGGAAAGTCATGGCATTGTTAGCTGCAGGAGACTGGACGCAGTGCTAGCAACTGTGCCGCCTACCCGCTTCCACGTCCCCGTTTTGGATGTGTTTTATTTTGTAAATGAGGATGATGGTTACTGCCCTAGGAAGCCACTTGGGCAGGGCAGACCTGCTCACAAGCCCGGGCGCTAGAGGATAGAGCCTGCACTCCATGTGGGTGTGCTCACTGATGGCTGTCATACCCGTGCTCCTTTGTCCCACCCTCAGCTGACCACTGTCCTTGTACCTGTAGACTTACTACATGCAGACTCAAGTTTCAAGGGAAGGAAAAATAACAACGAATAAAACCTAACACATAGTTATTGAAAAGAAAGCAACAAGGCAGATGGCGGCAAATGGTTGCAACTTCCTGGCAGAGTTTTCAATTCTAGACAATGAGACCTCTGGGGACAGGTGTCCAAAGGCTGCAGGAAGGGAGGGACTAAGCCATGGGGTGACCAAAGAGTTTCAGTAAGAAGGCATAGGTGGACAAAGGCCCTGAGGTTGTACACCTGCCTAGTACATCTGAGAAACAGCAGGTCTGTGTGTGTGGTGCAGCACTCCTAGAGGGAGTAACAGGGAGTGAAGGCACAGGCCTCTTTGCCTTTCACCTAGGCTAAGATAAGGGTTTGCAGCACAGAACCAAGGGGCGATCAGATCCCCATGCTGAGGACAGATCACAGTGAGACAAAGGAGGGAGAGAGGGAGGAGGGAAGGAGGGAGGGAGGAAGAGAAGGTGTGTGTGTGTGTGTGTGTGTGTGTGTGTAGGCTCCTGCAATAATTCAGTAGAGGCTAGGCATGGAACAGGCCTACAACCCCAGCATCCCTGAAACTGAGGTAGAAAACCACAGTTTCAAAGCTAGCCTGGGCTACATGATGAGCGTGTCTTAACTCTCCTCCAGTTCCAGAGCCATGGGCAGGCTGTGCTGGGGCGTCGGCACGGGGGAGGGAGGAGCAGCTGCAGGCTGCTTGTCGGTAGTGCTGACAGATGGGGTGTGGGTGTGGGAACACGGGGTCCCTGACCTCGGCACATAATGGACTGGGCCTTTACTCAAACAGGAAGCAAGGCAGCTCGGGAGCAAGCCCAGCCTGCAGTGACTGTGAGGTTCCCAGGGTCACTCGGGCAGCCCTGGGAAGAACCTGAGGAAGAAGCTGGAGACCAGGCTTGTGTGTGGATCTAGGATGTCATGAGTCAGAATAAACTTGAAATCAGAGGACAGTTCTGCTACTTGCAGGCTATATGGGTGCACTTTCCTCTCTGAGCCTCAGTTTCTTCATCTATGAAATGGCGGGAAGAACAGCGTTTGACCTAGTATGAGGACTTGAAATGTCACGCGCACAACTCACTTGACAAACTAACCATTGATCTGCATTTATTGAATGCCTACTGCATGCCTTCCTAAACTTAAGTTTAAGGTCAGAGGATATCAAACAGATGGACACCCCTGGGGTTGAAACCTTACCCTTTCTTACCTGAGTACTGACCAGGCCCAACCTGGCTCAGCTTCCTAGCTCAGACAAGATTGGCTATGTTTGGACCGTAGTGCTGTGAACGGGACCTGATTCTGTTGTCAGGTGACTGACACACTGGCTACAGTGGTTTCATGAAGATGTATGAATTGTGAAGTCAGAGAAGCTGAGATTGGAGTTTAATCAATGCCACCTGAATTTAAGACAGAGCCATGCTACTGGGCAAGGCCATGGCCAACCGGGTCAAGGAAGCTTGCCTAGGCAACGTACGTCTCTAAGCCTTTAAAACTTTTGTATAATATATGTAATAAAAGGAAATAAAACCCTGCACATTGGGCTGGAGAGATGGCTCATCAGTTAAGAGCACTGTCTGCTCTTCCAGAGGTCCTCAGTGTACTCATATAAATAAAATAAATTAATAAATCTTAAAAAAAAAACCAAAACCCTGCTTATTATATAGGATTTTTTTTTGTTTTGTTTTTTGTTTTTTTGAGACAGGGTTTCTCTGTGTAGCCCTGGCTGTCCTGGAACTCACTCTGTAGACCAGGCTGGCCTCGAACTCAGAAATCCACCTGCCTCTGCCTCCCAAGTGCTGGGATTAAAGGCATGCGCCACCACCGCCCAGCTTTTTTCTTACTTTCTTAAGTACTAAAGATTGAACCGAGCCCCTCAGGTGTGCTAAGCAAGCACTCTACCACTGAAGCCCTGGCCCAGCACTAACATAGGCCCAGCGCTGACACAGGATGATTACTGTCTCTATTCTCCAGTAGAGGACAGAGTCACTGTGATGTTTAATACTGGCTGCCAACGTGACTGGGAGAAGGGCTCTGGGCTCACCTGGGGATCTCTGTGACTCTGCTAACTAAGCTGGGAAGATCTGCCTACAGTGGGTGACACCATTCCCTTGGGCTTTGACTTTTCCAAATGGAGAAGGTTAGCTAAGTAATGGCAAGCATGCATCTGTCAACCTCTTGTCACCGTGGCTTCTGTACTGTGACCTGGGACTGTCACTCTTTCTACTAAGCTGCCCCCTTCCTCCCATGAAGCCCAGGTACGATCTCAGCTTTTCTTAATACAATGGTCCAGGCTGTTATCACCACTCATTTGTTGCTAGTCTACCACTCTTGGTTGGGCCAAGAGTTGAGTTGTCCACCAGGAAGGAAAGTAAGATTTTTCGGCTCTTACCCTGACACTGCCTTGTTGTGCTGGAGATGAAACCCAGGGCCTTTTAAACATGCCAGGCAAGTAAGTACTCTACCATCAAGCTATATTCTGACTCAAGGATGAACTTTTCTGTTTTGTTTTGAGACAGGATCTTTCCACATAGCTCTAGATATCCAGGATCTCACTGTGTGACCAGGCTGGCTTTGAACTCACAGAGATCTGCTTGTCATTCCCCCAACCCCCGCTACTGCTGGAATCAAAGGTGTGCACCACCCAAGCCTGGTTAGAATACAATTTTCATCGTATTTTAAAGCCTTGTCTTTGCTGGGCGGTGGTGGCGCACACCTTTAATCCCAGCACTTGGGAGGCAGAGGCAGGCAGATTTCTGAGTTCGAGAGTTCGAGGCCAGCCTGGTCTACAGAGTGAGTTCCAGGACAGCCAGGGCTACACAGAGAAACCCTGTCTCGAAAAACCAACCCCCCCCCAAAAAAAAAAAATAAAAATAAATCCTTGTCTTTTAATACAGAAAGTTAAGCCATTCGTGATTATTGTGATTACTAGTATGAAACTGAATCCAGCATACAATTAAGTTAGTTTCTTTCATTGTACTTTCTCGTATGTTTCTTTTTTTTTTTTTTTTAAAGATTTATTTATTTCATTTATATGAGTACACTGTAGCTGTCTTCAGACACACCAGAAGAGGGCATCAAATCTCATTACAAATGGTTGTGAGCCACCATGTGGTTGCTGGGATTTGAACTCAGGACCTCTGGAAGAGCAGTCAGTGCTCTTAACCACTGAGCCATCTCTCCAGCCCTCTCGTATGTTTCTTGTCTCTCCTCTATACTTTAATGGTCTAGACTGGGGTAGCCAACCTTTTGGTATCTGACATAGTGGTGTGGTCTACCAGTGTGCTGGGCCACATTCATAGCTATCCTGGGTTATGCGGGGCTCGAGGGCCACAGGTTAGACCTGGTCTAGAACTTCTTTTATTTACTTTTCGCTTTTGTAAAAGTGAGTGTCTATGGACAGGTATGTACATGACCAGGTAGGGACTCGGCAGGCACAGAGGCAGGCCAGAGGCGCTGGAAACCGCTGAAGCTGGAGTTACAGGCAGTTGTGAGCTGCCCAACATGGATGCTTGGAATTGAATTCAAGCCTTCTGCAAGAGCGGCGCACAGTCTCAACCTCTCAGCCGTCTCTCCGTCCCCCAGGAACCTTTCCTTCTGTTGTCATTCTTCCAGAGAAAAGCTCTCAGTTTCGGTACCGGGAATTGAATCCAGGGCCTTGTCAAATGCTCTACCCCCAAGCTTATTTCTCTAGCTCCACTTAAACTTTCAGTGTAAGTTTAGACCTGTGTGCTCTATTGACTTTCAGGGGCAATGCATGTGCTCGTTTGTTTGTTTTGTTCTTCCGAGGTGCGGGAATGGGCAACCACAGACTCCTGGCCCACATCTTCTCCAGAACGTTCACCAGACAGACTGAGTGTGTGTGTGTGTGTGTGTGTGTGTGTAAGAGAGAGAGAGAGAGAGAGAGAGAGAGAGAGACAGACAGACAGACAGACAGACAGACAGAGAGACAGAGAGAGTTCTGGTTCTTAGGGCATAAGTTATACCTGACTGCCTGGGCCAGGGAAGGTACTACAATACTTCTGGAACCTTCTGCCAAACACGCAAGACACCCACTGCTGGGCCCTCTTTCTTACCTTTAGCCTCTGGACAATGTCCCTGATGTCCTCCACAGAGCCCTCTGCAGCCTGTAGAAATATGTGGTCCCCTCGGCCGTAGAAGATTTTAATTGTGGAGGAGTCTGGGGTCCAGCCAATGACGTCCCCGCAGTAGCAGTTGAATACCACCTCCTTGGTGCGCAGGTCCAGGAGCACGACAAACTCATTGGAAATCCCCAGAATGCAGTCAATCTCTGAGCCCTGGGCATAGTCCTGAGCTGCCACCCGCCAGGCGATGGCCCCGGCACTGTGCTGTTCTGCACCTGCCCTGGCCTTTGTCTTCTCCTTCTTCTTGGAGGTCAGGGAGATGAGGTTGAACTTGCCGGAGGAGTCGATGGGGGTGTTGGAGACACAGTTTTCAGCTAGGTCCTTCAGGTACTCCTGACGGGTCCTGGTGGCCATCGTATGGAATTTGTCGGATTTGTGAGCAGCGTTCTCAGCGTTAATTACCTTAGCTAGCAAAAAGTCTCTGAAGACGTCAGACTTGCGGAATGTGGTTCCATTAGGGATTGGAGGGCCAAAAGGAGGGGCGTCTTTGGATCGGGTCACAGCCATGCTGAGGAGGGAGAAACCATGTAGAGGAGGGAAAAAAAATACAACTCCTTAAAACCGACAGGATACATACTTGCAACCCCAGCACTTGGGAGGCGGACAAAGAATCAGGAGTTCAAGGTTAGCCTGAGCTACTTAAAACTGCCGCTAGCCAGGGTGATGGTAAGCCACGTGTGGCCAGTCTGGTCTACAGAGTGAATTCCAGGACAGCCAGGGCTACACATGGAAACCCTGTTTCGATCCCCCCCACCAAAAAAAGAGAGAAAGTAAGATCTTGTCTCCTTCCTGTCCACCATGCTGGAAACAGAGCTGTGGGGCCAGGCAAGCACTCTGCTACCGAGCCACACCCTAGTCCTGGGGGAACACCTCTTTTATCAATGGAAGCATATATCTAGTCAATAAATAGCTAGTTAATTAGACTGGAAAGCCAAAGAGCATGTTCTAGAGTATATATACATATATAACATATATAACACACACACACACACACACACACACACACACACACACACACACACGCAGTGCTGGGGATCAGACTCAGGGCTTACACATACTGAACAAGTGATTTACCACTGAGCTGTACCTTCAGTCATCCTTGGTTTTCTGAGACAGTCTCATTATGAAGCCCAGTTGACCTTGAACTTGAGACACCCCATCTCAATTTCCTGAGTGCTGGGATTACAGCTACAGCTCCTGGCTCTGGACTTCACGTACTCTTGTTTTACATAAACTAGGTGTTAGATTACAGTTTGGAGAAAAAAACAAACAGCTTTCCGTCCTCTCTACTGCCCTCGTCAGATGCAAGCTTACAGCCCTTTTCCACTGATCACATGATTTGATTTGACCAACGCCTTGAGAATGAGGGCTTGAACTGTGTGGGTATAGGAGGGATGGAGGGACCTGTACTTCTATACTCGAGAGCTGCAACAGGATGGACAGGCCCCGGGGAGAGTGAGGGAAATCCGGGACAGGCTTGGACACGAGCTGACTCTGAGGGGAAGGTCTTAACCTGTGGGCTGAGACCCTTGGTGGGGTGGCGGTGAATGACTCTTTTACACAGGCTACGTAACAGATGCCCTGCCTATCAGGTATTTATATTATAATTCATAAAGGTAGCAAAATGACAGTTATGAAGTAGCAGTGAAATAATGTTACGGTTGGGGTGACCACAGCATGAGGAGTGCGGTAAAGGGTCACAGTGACGGGAAGGAAGGCTGAGAGCCTAAGGCAGAGTCAGAGCAGTGGTCCCTGCTGTGCCCCATCAGTGTCAGGCTAGCTGGCTGGCTGGGGAACAGTCGTGTGTGTGTGTGTGTGTGTGTGTGTGTGTGTGTGTGTGTGTGTGTGAGATTTAGTTTTTTAAATATTCACTTGATACTAATAACTTACTCTGCAAATCATAGCAACAAAGATTTTGAAAATCTGGTAGTGGCACATGCCTATAATCCAAAAACTCGGGAGGTAGAGGCAGGAGGGTCAGGAATTCAAAGTCTTAGCTACATAGCATGTTGGAGGCCAACCTGGGATTCATGAAATAAAGGAGGAGACTGTAGACTATTCAATACCCTATGCAACCCAAACACAGTGCAATGCCTGTAGGCGTCTGGTTGACCTCTACAGCTCCCTCCGCATCTTGATGGGGAACGGTGTAACATTCGCCGAGCTGTTTGACAGGGGCTTCCTGGATGCTCCTCTCAGCTGTGCAGATACAGCCATTCCGGTCTTTCCACAACTGCTGACTGAGCATACAAATGAACAGACAGCGATGGAGACAGAGAGGGATGGGCCAGGGGATGACAGAAGCTCCTGCTTTGGACAGCAGAGTCTGGGGGGTGGGGTGGGATGAGGCTGAGACAGTGACAGCTAAGACCCCAGACTGGGGAAAACACAGCAGATAGAAGGAACAGCATGTGGGATAGCCCAAGTGGGAAAGAGTACATGCAGAAGGAGGCAAGCCGGGGTCAGAGCTCAGGCGACAGGGGCATGCCACACATGGCCATGGAGGTGTCGCATACTTCCCATCTGCCGTGGTCTGGGAGGAAGGCCTCTCCATAGGCTGCGGCCTCTGAGTGAGTTTGGGAAAAAGGAGTCACTGGTAAGAGGAAAGACGCTGGGGTGCACCCACGTGCAACCTAGTGACATGAGGGGAGGCCAGCTATACCATGTCACTTCATGCGCTGTCTATTGGACACAGTGTAAGCACGCCCTACAATGCCTATGCAATGGCTAAACCAACCGAGGTCACATTCCCCAGAGTGTGTCCCTGTTGCTATATTCTACTTGCTTCTCTCCTTCTCGCCAGGCCATGATAGTGGTGGGGGCTTTGGGCTTTGATACGCTATTCACAGCCTTGCTAGGTGGCCCCTTTCCCAGGGCCCACAACTCTCACTAGCTTCTAGAAACTTCTCTCATGCCTCTTGGTTTGTGTGGTGGGCAGTACTGGTTCCTTGCTGTCCCTAATCCTGGATACTCCAGTTCCCAACAGTCCCCACACTGTGAGCCATCCACACTGCGAGTCTGTTAAGTCCTTGGCGGCGGCGGCTCCTGCTTCTGTCTGGCTCCACAGCAGAAAGAGATGCAAACACAAAAATCACCGTGCCCGCCTCCAATGGCGGGAGATAAGCAACTGTAGAGCTCCAAAGACTGGCCTGAGCCCTGCTTCTCATCTCCATCACTCGAGGCAGTGTCCCTTCCTGAGTAGGCGGGCCACACCCACGCCCATCTGGGCTCAGTGGGTTTCCAGCACCTGCCCAGGCACTCACTACTACCTAGGGTAAGTATGGTGTGTGGACCGACACGGGGAGAAGAAAGTGATTTCCACCAATAAGCAAGGGTAGTGATGGTGCCCCAGCCAGGTCAACCAGGATGGCTGTCTAAGGGAGCGGCTGGCCCACACGGAAGAGCTCTTCCCCTGGCACTCGATTGCTTACTGACAGACTGGCTTTCCTCACCATCCTGACTCACAGTTTTAAGTCATGAGAGTGTACGCTGAAGGTTCTGGACGACAGGAATAGCTGGCTCCCCGGTTTTAGCTGGAGGGGCTAGACTTCTTTACAAACCTCAGGCTCAGGGAAGATGCTCGTGGCCACTAAGAAATGGCAAAAGACAACTGCGCAAGCAGAAGATGTGTGGCCACCAGGCCTCCTTATCCTCTAGAGCCCAGCAGGAGCTTCTAGAACATGTGAAATTATTAATTCAGTTATTGTTTTCGAAGTGCCTATAGTGTGTGTCGCTGGCCCTTAAAGTCCTCTGATGTGTTAACCAGGCTCGGTGGCACACGCCTGTAATTCTGCCACTTGTGAGGTGGACAGAGAAGAGTCCAAAGCCCTCTTTGGATACAGAGTTTGAGGCCAGCCTAGGCTACATGATGCCCATGAGTACATATACATGCATGGGTCCAGGCAGGAGGGCGGGGTAGGCTGGCCTCGGGATTCTTCTCACAGCACTGAGGGTTAGGTCTGCCCCAGTGGGTGCCTTGGAATGGGTAAGGCGCACAGGTTGTATCACTGACACTTCCTTTCTTTAAAAACCCAGACAAGAGGAGACAGTGAAGCAAGCAAGGGAAAATGCTAACATGTTACATCTGCTGGCGGGGTGCATGGTGTCTGTTCCAGGATTTTCTGTACTTCTCAGAATGTTTAAAGTACTGCATAGTAAAAGTCTTTTAAAATTAAATTGTAAAACGACAACAACAACAACACCCCAAAAAGCCAGAAAGGGTTGTGTGTCAGGAAGAAGTCACCCTGGAGACCAAGCCTGAGCTTGCCTGGAGAAGTGGGAGGCGGGAGGAGGCCACTGGACTACAAGGTAGGTAAGGAAGGCAGAGAGGACAAGCACGGTGCAGTGGTGTACCCCATATTCCCTACATTCGGGTAGCTGAAGCAGGAGGATCACATGTTTGAGACCAGCCTGGGTTATATAGTTGAGTTGCAGGCTAGCCTGTGGTAGATGGCAAAACTTTGCCTCTAAAAAGCCAAGGGTGTGGCTGGGGCACTAGGTCAGAGGAACAGCACTTGCCCAGCATGAGTGAGGCTTGTGTCCAGGAGAAACACACAAACACACACACACACACACCCCAAAACAACCAACCCACTGTACCCCCAAAGAAACCCCGACTTAGGGGTACCTGGACATATTAAGTTGGTCACGGTGGCTCAGGTTTATAATTCCAGTCCTTGGGAAGCTGAGGCAGGAGGATGACTATGGGTTTGAGGCCAGTTTGCGCTATAAAACATATCTGAGACCAGCATGGCTATGTGAAAATGTCTACAGAACAATACAAACCAAGCCCCAGAAATAAAGCAGAACCAGGCTTCAGTGTGAAGTCTTGCCTGGCATGGATGCAGCCTGTATTTGACCCCCTATCCAGTGCCACTCCCCTGCCAAAGTAAAAAGGACTGAGGGGGAGGGGAGAAGGGCCACCTGACTACCTCGGCCTTCCTGCTGACCTCTGAGGCACAAGAAGGCTGCCTCCTCTTCCCGGGCAGGCATCTGTCCTCTGTCACTCAGGCTACCTTTCAGGTGCGGAGGAACAGTTGAGAGTCTAAGGTGCCAGCCAGCATCCTGCAGCTGTGACCGCACGTTCCACTAACAAGGGGGGTGGCCTTGAGCCAGGGCAATGACTGGTGGTGCTGGTCCCCAGCAGCCACCGGGCAATGCATCCCACACAGCAGCTCACATCAGCTGCATGAGAAAATCAAACTAATACTGCCTGCAGCAAGACCACGTCTACCAGTGTACAGGGAGGGGGCCCCTCACTCCCCCACGCCCGCTGCCACCGTTTTCTAGATGGCTCCATGCTTGATGGTGACGGCGATGACTGTGGAAACAAGGTGGCTCCGCGCAGGCGCCAGCAAACCGTCCCAATGCCAGTCCTTGGAGGGAAACTGTCATGTATCCACTCAACAGAATTCTGGAATGCAAAGAATGCCAGCCCCTGGGCTGCACGGCAGCGGCTCTAGCCAGCCAGCACTTGTGCTGACACAGAACACTAGGTGCGCGGGCTAGAGACACAGAGGCAGTGTTCGTGGTGAGGAGCTGGCCGAAAGGGCTGCTGCAGCTGCCCGCCCTCCCTCCTGTGGTCTGTGTGCGAAACGGTACGCCTCTTCTAGTCCCCGGCTGATGGCCAGGGCCTGGTTTGCTGGGTCGGGTGCGTCGGAGGATCCAGCTCTAACCTGTTCTTAGTCTTCAAGGGACAGCCACTAACATGGGGAAGCCCTGCTGTTACAGAGAGCAAAGAACAGGCTTGAGGCCTGGGTTACGAGTCTATGTGGGAAAACTCCCCAATTCAACACGCCTATCATCCTAACATCCAGCCAGGAGGATTGAGTTTGAATATAGCCTGGGCTACATAGAGAGACTTTGTCTCCAGAACCTTCCCAAACAATACTCAACAATACTATAAGCAGGGCCCTCGTGTAAGTGGTCCCAGAGAGCCTCTACCCTGGCTTTGCTGGAGCCTGCCTCTAGGTCATCACCCCTGTAGCTAGCTCTCTGTTGTCATGACAATGCCAGGCCAGGCACTGAGCTCCCCGAGACACCTGACTCCAGCCAGGCCAGAGGGCCTCCAGAGTTTCTGCTCAAGTCCCGGTGACACGTGTAGTTGTTCTTTCTCTCTTTTTCTCATCGAGACGGGGTCTCGAGTCGTCCCGGCTGGCCTTAAACTTGATATACGGCTGAGGATGACCTTGAACTTCTGATTCTCCTGCCTCTGCCTTCCAAACATTGGGGTTACAGGAATCTACCACTGTCCTTAGTTTACGTGGCACTGGGCATCAAACTCAGAACTCTGTGCATGCTGGGCAAGCTTTCTGTGAACTGAGCCACACCCCCAGCGCAATCAATTTCTCTCCCCTCTAGCTGGGAAGATGTTAAACTGAGTGCTGCCAGAAAACGAACCATGGAACACTCAGCCGAGCCTTCCTGTGACTCCAAGAGCCAGTACATATGACCGTATCTTCCTGTCGGCCAGAAGCGGGGTGGTTTCCATTCCTTACCAGCAGAAAGTTCCAAGAAATACAGACCCTGAAGGGAACCAGGGAGCCAGGACTCTGGTAGCCATACCTATAGCAGACATTCTCAGTGCAGGGGTTATGGACGCGCACGATGATGAAGACGTGCTGGAAGTGCGAGCGGATGTTCTTAGGGGTGAAAGGTAAGGCGCCGGGCTCCTGGAAGATGATCGTCACGATGTCATTCCCTATGTGCCTCTTCCTCAGGAGCTGGAAGCAGAGGGGGAGGAGGTAAGGGTCACAGGACAGCTCTAAGAATCCTACCCAGACTGCCTTGCTGGATTCCCATGCCCACTCCCACCAGAGGGCGCATGTGAGCACCGGAGTCAGGCCTTGTCCCTAGATGCTCCGAGCCCTTCTGACTCCTCACTCAGGGGAATGGACAAGGCCAAGAAGCCCCCACACGTGGCCCTCTGGCCTCTGACGCGGCCTGTTTTCCTCCCACACCTGCCCGGATGCTCTTCCAACACTCCAGGAAAGCCTTCCTCTTGCAAACAGTGGGAATGGCTGTCCCTGCTGCCCCAGAGCCCCATCTGGCTTCCTTCTTCCTTAACTCCTCTTGGAGATTTCTGTCATCCACAGCAAATCTCTAAGATCTGTCCTGCCCCGGCATGCCTTTGCCTTTTCGTATTCTGTATCCGATATTTATGGCTGCACTTTGCACACAGAGGCTTTCCCTCGTTTATCTCTTCTCAGTTAGGTTGTCAGTGACAAGAAAATGGGACGTTGTTTTGACTGTTGCCTATAACCATACCCTTAGTTCCTAGCAAAGAGTTTGACAAACTGGATTTGCTTGGCAAATCATATTTACTGCAGGAGGACTCAGGTTGGAGACCCTGGATCTACTCAGGCCATGTGGACAATGACAGAGTCTGACCAGAATGCACAGGCAGGGCCACTCCTAGGAGGCTCTCTCCCCTGGACTCCGAGAGCTGAGGTTCGGATGCCCCAGGGAGCCATGTCGGTTCTCCCCTGCTCCATCTCTGGAAGGGGTGTCTCCATGGTGTCTTCTTTATTGGCCAAGACTATAACTGATATCCCCCACACCCTTTTCTTTTCTGGAGGGTGGGGAAGACAGGTCTCATGCAGCCCAGGCTAGGACTCACACTCAGGAAGCAGCTGAGGCTGATCTTTAACTCTTGATCCAACAAAGGGAACTGGCCACCACAGCTGAGTTCTGTTTTGTCCTAACTATTTATTTTGAGACAGCTTTCCTAAATTGTCCAGACTGGACTTAAATCACAACTGGGCAATCTCCTGCCTAAACTACTTTATCCAGCCTGTTAGTTCTTTGTCATTTGATTATTTTGAAAAGGACCATCTAAGTAGCTCTGACTGTTCTGGAAGTCCTGAAGTAGACCACAGTCTAGAACTCACAGAGATCCACCTGCCTCTGTCTCTCTAGTGCTGGGATCAAAGGTATATGCTGCCAAGCACAGCACCGAAGATTTTTTTTTTGTTTTGTTTTGTTTTTTTTGTTTTTCGAGACAGGGTTTCTCTGTGTAGCCCTGGCTGTCCTGGAACTCACTCTGTAGACCAGGCTGGCCTCGAACTCAGAAATCCACCTGTCTCTGCCTCCCAAGTGCTGGGATTAAAGGCGTGTGCCACCACCGCCCGGCAGCACCAAAGATTTTTAAATGTTTTTATTTTTATGTGCACGTGTGTTTTGCCTGCACGCACATCTGTATACTATGTGCGTGCCAAGTGCTCTCAGAGGCCAGAAGAAGGTATCAGATCCCCTGGGACTGGAGTTAGACAGTTGTAAGATACCATGCAGATGCTGGGAATTGAACCTGGGTCCTTTGGAAGAACAGCCAGTGTTCTTGAGCACTGAGCTGTCTCTCCAGTCCTGGGCCTGTTAGCTCTCAAGTTCTGTATGCAACTGAATTGCATGAATTAAACTGCTAAATACAAGGACTGCTTCCTGTGGCTGAGCCCATGTGAGGCCTACCTCCCAGTCATATCTCAATTCGTGACCCTGCTGGGCCCGCCCCAAACTCTGAGTGGCAGTGACTGCTTTTCATAAGATGGGAAAACCTTCTGTCCTGCAGGGGTGAAGGTAAAAGGGCGGGACTTCAACCTGCTTTTGATTTTGACTTTGCAGGACAAGCTCTCTCCAGTCCCTGGTACTCAGGAACAGGGCTCCTGCTTCCTAAAGGTATTGGCTGCCTTGTACTCAGGGCCTCCACATGGAAGCAAGCATCTTTTCTAGTACCCATGCAGTATCATAGCGACCATGTTGCCAATGTGTGGAGGAAAGACCTGTGGCCCAGAGAGGTGCCATCACTTTCCTGAGGTCACACAGCGAGCAGGGGGCAAAGAGCTCAAACTTATGTTTAATCCTGATGCCAATGTTGAGAGCGTGTTACTAGGATATCCTTCAGAAATGGCCTATCCTAACAAATGAAAACAAAACCAAACCCAAAAACCTATGCCCTAAATTCTTAGCACTCTGGGTGCCTATCTACTAGAGAGTAGTCCCATTGTCCCACTGTCCTGCTGTCCCAGAGGGAGCTGTCACATCTGCCATCTCCTGCAGCCCCCTGGCCATAGGTGTCTCCCAGCACCTGGCCCCTGAACCATTTACCCTTTCCAGGATGGCCATGTATTTCCCTCAGGCTGGGTTTGCGCCCACTCCCCGCCCGGCCCAGTCTTTCCTCGGTGTGGCTGAAGGGTGGGAGGAGGGCATGGACTGTGGGGAGAATCTCTGCCATCGCTAAGAGACCTGTGAATGAAGCCACTAAAAGGAACAGCGGAGGGTGAGGACTCTCTTCTTTTCTGTTTGTTTTTCAAGACAGGGGTTCTCTGTGTAACCCCGGCTGTCCTGGAACTTGTTCTGCAGACCACCCTGTCGTCAAATTCTAAAGATCCACCTGCCTCTGCCTCCTGAGCACTGGGATTAAAGGTGTGCGTTACTACCATCTGGCTGGAGGCGAGTATTCTTCAGACTGTCTGAACCTCAGGATCCAGCCGTACCTAAAACGACCTTTGCTTGTGCCAGTCTGGCTTGAGTTTGAGGTGGAACCCTGTTAACTCGTTTATTTCTCTCACTCTTAAAACTGGTGATGATTCACAAGACCCCTGAAAGGAGATGGGTCAGCTGGAGGTCAGCAGGGTGGCGAGGACCAGCAGGAAGATGTGGTACCAGACAGGCACTGAGTCACATCAGCGTTGTCTACAACTCCCAGGGAAATGCTCGTGGTACAGAGGGTCTCCAAGACCTCCATCTGATTCACAGGACCACCCCGAGAGCCATCACTGGGCAGACCGCCTGGCTGGTGGCCACCAGTCTTGAGGAGGGTGAATGCTTTGGGACTAACTGTGCCCCACCTGGGGACCACTGACCTGCTGCCTGTTGTTGGGAGTGTATGGGAGCAGGGTGGAGACGTGGAACATGATCTCGTACTCCTGGTACGTCGTGTAGAGGGAGTGTGTCCCCGTGGAGTCCGCTGGGATAGAAACAGCAGTTAGTACCACAGTCCCCAAGCCTCTGGGTTCCTGTCAGATCCCACAGGCCATCTGTTAGTTTTTAACTCGCAGCTTTTACTTACATTCACTCTTTAAAAAAAAAATGAAAGAAATATAAAAGAAATCTCCCATTATATAATTATTATTTTTTTAAAGGCGAAGTCTAGCAATGTAGTCCAGGCTGGCCTCAAATTCAGTCTTCCCGACTCAGCCTCCTAAGTGCTGGATTATAGCATGCACCACCATGACTGAGTGTCTTTAGAGTTCACTATCAGCCAACAAACCCTCGACGTCCTGCCATGCTCTTAAATACTTGGCACTTAAAAGGCGCCCATCAGTGTACATTCTCCTGGGGCTCCCTCCATGTGACAGCTAGCCGTCACCTGTGTCCCTGCTCTGCAAATATCACGTAGTCCTGTGGAACTTCGGGGTCCTCTCTGGGAGCCCACAGCTGTGTCCAGGCTTCACATCTGATGCCCACGGCACAGTGTGCAGAGCACACGTCCTGCTGCTTTCTCTGGTGGGGACGCTGTCCATCCTGAGAGTGGTGCTAAGGACCTCCCACCTCCCACTGGCCTGCACCCTCACCCTGGCATCACCAGACCTCTCAGCTGGTCAGGCAGACAAGCAGGGGTGGCTCCCTGACATCTCAGTGGCCCCTCCTTAACAGATTTTTTTTCCTTTTTGGTGGCATTGAGGGTAGACTCTAGGGCCTGTTAGGGAGATACTCCATCCTGAAGCAGTACCTGATGCCTCCCCCTGTTCCCACTGACTTATTATCTATCTGTCCATCTGTCTGTCTGTCCGTCCGTCCATCCATCCATCCATCCATCCATCCATCCATCCATCCATCCATCTGCTATCTAGTTATTGAGACAATCCCTTGCTATGTAGCCCTGGCTGGCCTGGAATTTACTACGCAGAGTAGGATGACCTTAAACTCAAGAGATCTGCCTGCCTCTGCCTCCCAGGTGCTCCCTACTTACTCTTGACATCCAGCTGGGCGGCATACTTGGTGAAGCCCTTCAGACAGACCTTGTCACCCAGGAGGTCCAGGAACTCCTCGAAGGCAGGGCCGGCCTCCTCGTTGTTGTACATCTCCTCCTCTGAGCTCTGGCCCGCCTTGCAGTACAGGATGCCGACCTTGTGCTTCCGGCACAGCTGTGTGGGTGGAAGAGTGGAGTAGGTTCGAGGAGGTTCCAGGGAATGGGACACAGGGAGTCCTGAGTCCCAAGCCCTGCGCTGCTAGGACCTCTTGGGAATTCAATGCACAGCCTGCGGGGAAGGAACCAGTGTGGGGCAGGTCCCAGAGAAGCACAGGAAGGTACACACTCTGTCATTCATCTTCACGTGGCTGTGCCAGTCTATGGTGTTCTTAAGACAGAGCTGGGAGCTGGGGCTGGCTTCCTATAGGAGATGACTGGGCATGGGATGAGGCTGTGCCAAAGCAAAACCTCAGCTACTGGGGGTCTGCACATGTCTGGAAGTCCAGAAGCAATGCCAGGGGCTATGGACGGGCCAGATGGCAGTGAGTGGGTTTGCGTTCATGTGCTGGCACACGTTCTCTCTCCCTCTCTCACAGAAACCTTGTGGTGTCAATCTCATTCCCGGGCTGTTTCTATGACACTGCTCTTGGTACCCTTACAACGTGCTGACGGCTCCCTCCTGTTGCTCAGTCGGGCTTATGAGTGAATGTTGCGGCTTGTTAAAAATAAACGGGGAGGTGGAGACAGAAAGGGCTGGGGCTCCGCGGCCCCTGGCTCACCCCCTGCTCATCCAGCTTCAGCAGCTGCTCCGTGACTTTGGGAGTGTTGAGAGCCAATCGTAAGCAGTGGATGTTGAGCTCTGGGATGACGTACTCCAGCGCATCCTTCAGGGGCAGGCCCCGCCCCGTCCCGTGCTTGGTGGCTGTAGGTGTGGCATCCTCTAGAATGGAGCCCCGGAGTGTGATGAGCTGCTCAACAGAGGGAAGGGATGGTCAGGGGTGTGGGGGGGCCTCTGAGAGGGGTCTGCCCTCACAGGCAGGCGTAGCCGGGCCTGCTGCTGGACTTCTGTAATCCCAGGTACTACGAAGGTCAAGGCTGGAGGATTCTGAGGCCAAGGGTGACTTGGGATACAAAGTTGAGATTCTCTCTCAATAAAATGAAACCAGAGCTGGGTGTGGTGGGCTGTAATCCTAGCTTTCAGGAGGTAGAGACAAGGTAACTGGAAGTTTAAGATCATCCCTGGCTACAGAGTTAGAGGCTAGCTTCTCTACATGAGACCCTGTTTCAACCCCCTCTCCCCCTAAAGTCTAAAACCAACCCTACCCCCAAAAGGAGGGGATGACGAGAGGGGTCTTAAGAACTTAGAGGCAGAATATAGAGGATGAGCCAGGACTCGGATTTGCTATCTCCTTCCCATGATCCAGACTAAGAGACCATAGGTCTCTTAGACTCAATCTTCTCTTCTGTGGGACAAAGGCAGGCAGTCATAACTGAAGGGGAGGCTGAGTGAGGCAGCCCACCGTCCTTGGTTCAGTACACACACTGGCTGCTGCCTCTTGTGTGCCAATCCAATCTAAGCAAAGACCCCGGAGAATTGACAGATGGGAGGGGTGGGGCAGTCTATCAGGAAGCAGGGCCCCAGATGAACCCAAGAGGCGCCACAAGGAAGAGGCTCTCAGTCGCTCCTAAGACATCTCAAGTTGTAGACAGGTCAGTGTATGCTCACAAAGACCTGCCTGTCTAGGATGCTGGTGCCAGTTTGGGTCTTGAATTGTGGCTCATGCTGTGGTCCAACCAGTTTCATGGAAAACATCACCCAGGCGCTGCGATTTGGTCTGGGGTGGGGCTGGACAGAAATATATGCATTTACATGTGTCTGTCTGTCTGTCTGTGTGTTGTATGTATGTATATGTGTGTATCTGTATGTATGTATGTATGTATGTATGTGTATGTCCGTATGTATCTATATATGTATGTGTCCGTATGTATGTATGTATGTATGTATGTATGTATGTATGTGTGTCTGTCTGTATGTGTGTCTGCATGTATGTATGTGTGTGTATGTCTGTATCTATGTATGCGTCCATATGTATGTATGTGTCTGTATGTATGTGTGTGTATGTATGTGTCTGTCTGTCTGTATGTATGTGTATCTATGTGTGTGTGTCCGTATGTATGTCTGTGTGTGTGTCTGTCTGTATGTGTGTGTATGTATATATGTGTGTGTCCGTATGTACTATGTATGTATGTATGTATGTATGTATGTATGTATGTATGTATATATGTATGTGTGAGTGTAGCCCACTTTAAATGCCCTCGGTTGCTTCTGCTGTGCTACAAAGGTTGAAAACACTTAGGCAAAGGCCACCTCATGCCTCGTCCCTTCTTCCTCAGATGTCACTACCTCCCAAGAGGTTCCTAGAGCTGACCACATGACCAATTATTCCAGGAATGACATGTGAGAATCCTGTCTGGTCAGGACATTTTACTGGCCCATATCTTCTTGCTGGGGACGTGAGTGTAAAGACAAGCCCCTCTCCCATCTCTCCCCATGGCTGTCCCAGAAATCACTGTGTACACTAGGCTGGCCTCCAATTTGGGGATCCACTTCCTTCAGTCTCTCGAGAGCTGTATTTACTTTATTTTTTTAAGACAAGGTCTTGCCATGTGACCTAGTCTGACTCTGAACTTGCAGAGATCCTGTCTTAGCCTTCTGAATACTGTTACTATAGACGGGCAACATGAAGATGCCTTAAGATTCTAAAATTGCCATCCAGTACAATCTACATACATGTAGACACCTAGTCCGTTACCGCCATGATTAGCCTTGGGTACTGACTTCCAGAGCCAGTGTCTTCCTGCCTGCTTCAGAGCTTTTTGCACCTTTCATTACTGCCATTTTGTCAGGAGTGTGCTGGGGGCTGTGGATGGAGTCATGACCTGCTAAGGAGTGCTATAATCCAGATTCCCATACCCAGATGGCAGTTCCTGTTCTTCTGTTATCTGGCTCCCTGCCTCCTCCTCTGAGTCAAGATCTCAGGTAGCCCAGGCTGGCTTCAAATTCCTGACTCCTACTTCTCCCTCTTGAGTACTGAGATTACAGACAAGTACCAACATTCTTGGCTTCTTTCTCTTCTTTTGAGATAGAGTCTTATTCTATAGTCTAGGATGGCCTTGAACTTGAGATGCTTGTCTCAGCCTCTCAAGCTCTGGAGTGACAGGTGTAGCAGTCTTTTACTACTTTGTGGGGTCTTCTTTCTTCTACCCTTCTCTATCCTTTTCCACCCTTTCAACCCACTAACACTAGATAAGAGAGAGAAAAGGATAGAGGGGAAAGAAAAGAGCCCTGATTAAAGTCAGAGGTGAGAAGGGGCGACATTATCATCAGACGACTTCCTGCTGATTGGGAGGGGTTGAGTCCCTTAGGGCAAGTTTGATCTTCACCACCAGGATATCTAATTTCTTCTTCCTGTTTCTTCTTTGTACACACTATTTAATAAACGACCAACAATCAACCAACAACCCACCTGAACAATCATCCAACAACCTACAACCCATCTTGGGGCCCTAGCATTAATATATCCTCTGAAAAGTCCCCAGAATTCCAAATGTCACACATGTGCAGAAACTATCTGCAGCTGGCAAAGTCACGCCCCTGCTAGAGCACGAGGCAAATCACCGTCAGCTGCTGTGGACAATCTGAAGCAGCCCCGTATCCCATGCCTGGGATTCAAAGAAAAACGTACTTTATAATAATTCTGTGTTTTAAAGAAATCAGAATTCCAAAATTGTCACTCAGACGGCTGGCCACTGTGCCTAGCTTGGCACCTTTCTCTGAAGAGTGTGCATGTGAGACTCCACCGTGTCGTGTGGAGAGGATGAAGTCTGCACTGTTGTGGACTTCATCCCTCCTAGGACTGCTGAGCACAGCTGCTTCCAGTAGCTGACACCTGAGAGCGGCACTGCTGGGGATGTCCACAGACGTACCTCTTGGTGCCCGTGAACACATTTCCTTTTGGGTTTATACCCTACCAGGCAAATTGCTAAATTATCCAGACAGGCTCATCTTCGGTTTTACCCAAAGTGCCAAATAGTTTTCCAAGTGGTTGTTGTGAGTTACACCCTCCGGCCCTGAGAGCCCCCTGTAGCCTCGTCCTCGGGACACTTCTGGCCACCAGAGTGTGTGGAGGCTGCAGCAAGATACCTGAAATACCACAACAAGAAAGAAAGAGAAACTCTCCCCCAGGGCCTGTGCCACGCACCCCAAACCCACTCACCATTGTGCTTTAAACACAAAAGATGATCGGTGTTAACTGCAAGAACACAGTCTCCTAAGTCAACGGACACACAAGGCAGCAAACGCATGTTATGGTTTGGCTGCCAGGCATGCAGTCCACCTTTGCCAAACAAGACCCAGGCAAGGGGCCTGTGGGAGGAACGGAGTGATCTCATGGCTGGGAGTTCCCAGTTCTGACCGTGCTTGTTAACAAACACACGCGTCTCCTATCGTGAGCGAAGCAAGCGTGAAACACGGGGAGCAGCGACGGCGTCAGGGGTTGGCTCTCCAGTCTGGCTGGCGCTGGGGCTGTGGGTTTCCCGCACACCCACAGGACCAGTGTCTTTGTCCACTGATGCTGCTCCACAGCAACCCTGCTGGAGGGAGCCAGTGTGGACTCAGAATCCTCCGCCAGAGTCTGGCCACCTGTGGGTGCACCTGACCCTCAGCGCTGCCCGCTGCTCCCCTCTTGAAAAGCTCCCAGGTCTCCTTCTGGCCAAGGAGGTGGGGGAGGAGAGGCAGGGCACTGATGGGGTCAGAAGCTGCCTCAGTCCTCCCTGCCTTGGCCCACTGTCAGCTGCTGCCTCTTCTCCTGGTACCCCCCCCCCTTGTCCCCCTGCCAGCCCATTCCCTCCATAGCAGCCCGAATCAGGTCTGTTGTGAGCCCTCTGACATCTGGCATCCCTACTGATGGTGACGGACCAAGTGAGCTGTAAAAAGGACACCGTGCCACATAAGCAAAGAGGAGCCTATCTGTGAGAGTCAGGCCCCTGACAGAGCCGTCCGCATGTTGGCTGCTCTTTGTGCTGGGTGGCAGGTCCCCTTCGGACTTGGCACTCTCAGCCCTTGTTCTGATTCCCAGCTTCACTTCCTCATTCAGTGAGCAACCCTGAGCTCACTGCTAAATTCCTCATCCCATTCCTCATTTCCTCCCCCTGTTCCTTCTTAGGTTTTGAAACTGTTTCACGGAGCGCAGGCTGGTCTTCAACTCGCAGGCCTCCCAGGCACCAGGATTACAAGTGCACCCCACCACATTTGACTTCGGTAGATTTTCACTGACACAGAGTTTCGCTAGGTCCGGTCCTGGCTGGCCTCGAGCTTTCACTATTTCCACTTTTGAGCCTCTCGTCTTATTTCCTCATTGACAAAATGGGAGTAAGAACGCAGCCATGGCCGGGTGTGGCTGTACACACCTGCAGTTCAAATACTGGGAGCTGAGCAGGGCAGAGAGTTCAGGCCAGCCTGGGCCAGCTGATGGATCCAGTAAGGAAGTTCACACAGAGAGCTCACCACTGTGTCTGAAATACAACACTCACTGCGGCAGACAAAGCCACAGCTAAGCCCCAAACCTAAACCACTTTAAGGAGAAGGCTATGGTCTCCCTCCCACTCCTCAACAGAACAAGACAGAGAGATAGAGAGGCACACGCAGGAAATCAGATGTGCCGATGGAACACAGATACCCCACCCATAACAGAATTATACTTTTCCCTTCACTTTGTAAGACCCTCCCCTTTATTTTGTATACTTCTGTATGCGTTAGGTATTACATACATATATACATATACAGAAAGTAAAAGCCCAAACTCCTCAGCCTCCCAGAGCTAAGGCACAGTACTGTACGCCTACTGTGCCAGCACCTGGGAGGCTAAGGGGTGGGACTGTGAGTGCCATGGCAGCCTTGGGCAGTCTGTCAAGGACTCCCACTTGCCAGGCTGAAGGAGTGCACTGGGCCAGATGGTCTGAGGCTGGGGGACGTTCTGTGTCATCTAAGCAGTCACTGGCATGGGGCGGCCAGTGCTCAGGTGTGTGGTGCTCCTGCCTCCGTGGGAAGCCTGGCTCTGCCAACACTCACATGCCATCTGCTGAGAGACATGGGCCTACTGGGGCCTGTCTGCTTGGCGGCTAGGGGTGGCCATCTAGGACAGGCCAGCCTGCTGGCTCGGAAAGCAGCCTGGGCCCCATGCTCTGGTTTGTAGGGGCCAGAGGTGTGTGTGTGTGACTGGAAGATGGAGCCTTGTCTGTTCTCCAGCAGGGCCCCGGGCTCCTGCAGGAGTTACAGTCATGACAGACTGTCAGTAGGATGGTGGGATCTGGCACTCAGAGCTCTTCCTGCCCTGAATGAAGGCTTTGTGGCCACTTCCCAGCCCCAGTGTAAGACCCTGTCCCTACCTCACTCGGGGTCAGGTCACAGCTCCAAGCCTGTTTTACAGGGGAAGAAACAGAAACACAAGGACCCCGTCCAGGTCATGGGACAGTGAAGGATGGCACTGGACAGGCAGCCCGGGGCTGTGTGATCCCAACTCAGCCAAACAGATCCTCGCGGTGGGAGTGGAAGGGAGCAGGACATCCTGGCTTTGCCACTGGGTGGCCTTGGAAAAGTAATTCTCTGGCTCCAGTGTCCTCATCAGTGACAATGGGATGAGATGACAATGCGCCCTCTGTGGTAAGAGCTGAGAGAAGCTGTTGGGGCAATGTACCTGAAACACTGCGGTGAGTGCCCGGCAGCAGCGCGTGCTTCGACTTTAGGGTAGGTTTCTAGGCTGCTGGCACAGAATGTGGGTTGTGTGACTCTCTGCCCTGGGAAATAAGGTGAGGTAAGCTTTGAGGTCCACTGCTTCTCCTCCACCTCCAGATGATGGGCAGTGAGGCCTGAAGGCCTCACAGGGCAGCTCTGCAGGGGCTGGGGGCAGGGCTGGGTCTGCGTGTGGTCTGTAGGACAAAGGCTTGCATGGTGTGTGTGGGTGCTCTCGTGGTATGTGTGTGTGTGTACGTGTGCGCACGCTTGTGCACGCACGTGTATGTGTGCTGAAGCTCAGGCTGGACTTGAACTGATGGCAATCCACCTGCTTCAGACTTCAGAGTGCTACAGCTAGAGCTGTGAGCCAGCACACCAGATCCCCGAGGTACTGGCTGTTTCAGAGGTGCCTCCATCAACCGTCCTGTCTGAAGACCTGACCCCCTGCCTCAGCCACCCATTTCCCTAATGAGTCTTCCACCTTGTCACTCCCTCCCTGGCACGGGCTAGGAGGGAGTCTTGTGTAGCACTGTTATCTGCTCCCAAGAGAGCAGCCTTTAAGTCACTTTGCTACTTTGATTGCTACCATACTCACAGAGCACAGTCTGGGGCTGTGTGGTGACAGTGTCTTGGGATGTGTGGCCATGAGGCCGAGGACGCATGGAACAGCTTCCAGTTACCAAACAGGAGCCAAAGCAGAGAAGTCACCCCTGGCCTGCTGAGAAGGCACTGATGTGTCACAGCCCTCAGTGCACAGGACATGCTGTCATTTATTATTCTAGGGGGTTAAGAGTGATGGCTTAGCAGTCAAGAGCACTTACGTATGTGTCAGACATGGTGGCACACACCTTTAGTCTCAGCACCTGGGAGGCAGAGGCAGGCAGAGAGCTCTGTGAGTTCAAGGTCAGCCTGGTCTATACAGTGAGTTCCAAGCCAGCCAGAGAGACATAGTAAGACCCTGTCCAGATAGGTAGGTAGATAGATAGATAGATAGATAGATAGATAGATAGATAGATAGATAGATAGATAGAAGACAGAAGCACTCAGGTGCCGTTCCTAGAATCCACACAGTGGCACATAACCATCTATAACCCGGCCCTGGGCTTCAATGTCTTCTGCGACCTCTACGGGCACTGCATGCCTGTGTAAGTCTGAATTCTTTCATCACCAAGCCCAGTGTGTGTGTGGGGGGAGGGCTGACCTGTGTCAGGTGACTGCCTGTGGCAGCTGAGTGGAGTGGCTGGAGGATGACAACAGAGAGCTACTCGGCCGCCTCTTACTGGAGGGTCTGCATCTGCTGCTTTGTCAGAAATGAGGGCGACCTCGGGGCTGGGGAAGCTTCGAGGCCGATGAGCTGCCTGGGCGAAGGCAGAGCGCAGCTGCACTGCAGTGCTAGGCCACCGCTGCCGCTTGAACATCTGCATTTCTCATGGACCAGCATTTGCTTACGTGTCCTAAAGTGCTCTGAAGCTGGCTCAACCGTCACCTCACGTTCTGTCTTGGTGGTCAACTGGCCAGAAAGGTGAGCAAAAGGAAAGGTTGGCCAAGACACGGGTAGAGAGCACTTGCAGTACGGGCATGAGATTTTGGGACCCACTCTTCTCAACTGACCTCAACTGACACAGAGCTTGTCATCCGGTTGAGAGCCTCTGACAGGTGGGGTGATTGTCCTCATCTGCCCACTAGGATGAGTTCCAAAACCTGGCTGGCCCCAAACTCAAAGTCCACGGCAGAAGTAGCCTGCTGGGTTCTCACAACAGTGTGCAGGCCGGGCATACAGAGATGCTCAGTGTGTGGGCCTCTATCAGCCTTTCTAGAAATGACGCCTTTACGGGGCTCCTTCAGGAGGTCCAGCACTTGGTCATGGTTGCTAACTTGCTTCGTACAGCTGGGGATCAGACTCAGAGACCAGGGCAACGCAAACGAGAACCTCCTTTCTGTTGGCTATGGCAGTACAAGCCTCAAATCTCAGTGCTCAGAAGGTAGAGGCAGGAGAATCGGGTGGGTCAGAAGGAGGAGCTCAAGGCCAGCTTCAGGTACACAGAGAGTGGAAGACCAGCTTAGGCTACGGGACACATGCTCTCAAGAACAAAACAGAAACACTCTGCCACCCCTGCCGAGGACCCCCTTCTCTTCTTTCCTCTCCTCCTTGAGCGGCTCCCATGTGCAGTAACATTTTTCAGAGTTCTGGGATTTTGATTACTTTAAAAACCACAGAACGGGTGGTGGTGGCGCACGCCTTTAATCCTAGCACTTGGGAGGCAGAGGCAGGCGGATTTCTGAGTTCGAGAGTTCGAGGCTAGCCTGGTCTACAGAGTGAGTTCCAGGACAGCCAGGGCTACACAGAGAAACCCTGTCTCAAAAAACCAAACCAAAAAAATAAATAAATAAAAATAAAAAAATAAAAATAAAAACCATGGAAATATTGTAAGAGTGTGCTTTAGTTTTACTCCCAGGTATAGGGATGCAGGGCTGCTTCAGACCGTCTGCAGCAGCTGACTGTGATTTGCCTCGTGCTCTAGCAGAGCCGTGGTCTTGCCAGCTGCAGATAGTTTTGGTGATTGTGTGGCGTTTGGAATCCCGAGGACTTTTCAGAGGGTATATACATGCTAGGGCCGTGATAGGCAGGGTTGGTGGTTGTTAGTCGGGGGTAGTGGTGGTTGTGGTTTGTCAGTAGTCATGCTCAAAGAGGAAACAAAAGGAAAGAAATTAGGTTTCTAGATTCCCCCTTCTCTTTCTCCCCCCCCCCATTCTTCCCCCCGTCATCTAGTGATGGGGGGAACCAGTACTGATAAAAGGTGAGAAAAAGAACCCACAAAGTAGCAAAAGACCAGCTACACCCAAGGAACTGTCGATCTCAGTGTGAGGGTGGTGGCTCTAGCCCTAGGTGGATTGTGTCCTAGATCTGGCTGTCAATCTTTCTCACCCTCTATCACCCCTGTCAGTGCCTGGCCCAAGGTGTGGGTGTGGGATCCATGAAGAACCAATCGGGGATCCTGCAGATGTGAATCAGCCTTCTGTATGGAAAGCTATCAGGATCTAGAAGCCTGGACTGAGGACAGCTTGCTGGTGACAGAGGAGAAGGAAGGCAGAACCGACCAGGCTGAGTTGGAAGTGTCACGTTCTGCAGTCTTAGAGAAGACTGGGTCAGTCTGTGCCCATAGCAGGTTTTATCCCCAACCTATAGAGACAGAGGTCAGTGAATCTCTGTGACCTTAAGCCAGCTTTTAAGTCATAAACACATTCTGTCACCAATCACTTGTGTTGGTGGGGGTGGGGGGACAGCAATATACCCTCTTCCCCTGTTGCTGGAGCTAAGCTTTAATCCAGGGATGGACTGCTGGGCAGGACAGTGGGATCCTCAGCTGAGAATGGAGCAGGCTGACTGGGAGAGGCTGAGGCTGCTTAGCATGGCAGGGCTTGTTGCGATGCCCCAGGCCTGCCCAGACTGGGGCTGGAAGTCTTCCTTAATACCTGAGTCCTGAAATGACTCCATGCCTGAGCCCTGAAAATAGATGTTGGTGATCCTGAGCTTTGAAGTCACCTGGTAGGTTCAGATCCTGGTCTGGATTATTTGCTGCAACTTATGTCATCTCTGAGTATCAGTTTTCCCCTCTGTAAAATGGACAGACTCACTGAATCTCAGTACTGGACCTTTTATGAGACATGGTAAGGAAGTTTGGTCTGGAACCCGGTAGAACCAGGACACAGCAGTGGGAAGGGTTCACAGCTCCTGCTAACCCGGCAGGCAGACTGGCATAGGTCGGGCCCTACCTCTCGAGTCCGGAAGATGATCCTGTACTGGTACTGAGGTCCGTGGTCCTTATGGTCCTCCAGCTTCTCCCGCTTGATGCTTACGGCCACGGGGCCCAGCTTTTCATCCACGCCAAAGTAATTGGCATGCTCTAAAAAGGGAAAGCAGGGAAGAATGGTCAGAGGTCTGGAAGGACAGGCACAGCCCATGGCAGCCTGCTCACGGTGTGAGGGGAGGGGGTAAGGCAGTCTCACACGAAACTCACAAATCAAAGGTCAACAGAGAAACCCTCAAGTTTGATCAAAGCCGGGCTTTCTGAACCAGGAAAGTCACAGGCCTTTTCTGAGCCCCAGTACTCTCATCTGAGGAACAGGGACTCAGAGGCTACCCACAATTCAGAACTCGTGTGTGAGAGCAAGACCATAATGATGAAAGGCTTGGCATAGTACACAGTGGGTCATCAACTCTGGGCCAGTGAGATTAATCCTGCCTCTGTTAACGGCTTGCCTGGTTTAGCTCCCATGAGCTGTTGTGGAGCGCTTAAGCCCTGAGCCTAGGGAGTCTCCTGCCAACACAAATTCTGGGTTGAGATTAGATATATGGCCCCAGCCAGGTCACATGATGAGATTCTTAGCAGTCAAATGCGCTTAACTCAGCAATGTGCGGATTAACTGAGTTAGCACAGCACCAGGCTGGCACACAGCAAGCACTCGGCTTAAATGCTGGCCATTAGTAGCTCAGGACCTCAGATGTGTTCAGGGCCCTGACACGGATAGATCCCTAAGTCATGCCTGTATCTGACCGTGCTTCTACAGACCCAAACAACGGAAATACTGAGGGTAACAGTCATAAATAAGCCAAGGGGCCAGGTTTCTGCTCTTCCCCTTTTCCTAGACAAGCCACCGAGAACTCTACCAGAAAACAGTTCTTTCTAATATCCAACCCTAGCGGGTTTGTTTGTTTTGCTGTTGTTGTTGCTGCTGTTGTTGTTAAGACTGTGGCAGCACCCTGCCAGCAGCCTGCATGATTCTGCTTCAATGTCTTCATGCTGCTATCAGCAAAACCTCAAAACACTAACAGGTATCTGCTTCTTGTCCTCACCCTGGTATTCCGTATATTTAATTGACAGTCCCTGTTTTCAGATGCTCCTGGGTGAATCTAAGGCTACCCAAAATAACGGGTGCAAACTAATGAGAACAGCCCTATACACTGTATTCCAAAGGTGAGAGTTTACTCCTGAAGACACTATCAAGTTGCTGCTGGGTTTTCTACCTACATACAATGCCCAGAATCTCAGAAATCCCAATAGATAGTCAGTGCTCAATAAACATTAATCATAAGCCTTCTGTGGCTAAAAGAAGTCAATTTAGAATCTGGGGACTAGAGAAGGTCATACTATATTACTAAGCCTCAGTACTGGGATTTCCTGTGCATCACCCTGCCTGGCAGGACATAACTATCTGTCCCCACCTCTCTACTTCCTTTCCTTTTTGAGGTAGGGTCTTAGTAGGTAGCTCAGGTCTACCTCAAACTGAAGATCCAGCTGCCTTGGCCTCCTGAGTGCTGGAATTAAGGATGTGCTACCGTATCTTGCTTCTTTGTGAGTTTGAAAAACCAACATGGAACAGGCCTTTCACCCCTCAGGCACGTTTCATCTTGGGATCTCATGCTACTGATACAGAGCCTCACAGCCTCTATCCTGATGGCTGGGGGCTGGACCGTCTACTTCACCCCTTCACTGTTCACCTCGGTGCCATTCTGGGTGGCGTATGGGATCCACTATAATCAACCCTGTGCCCCATGAGATCAATCTCAGGGTGAAATGTGTCACAAAGTCAACAAGCTATCAGACAGACATCCAACCCATGGTCTGTCTAACTCCAGAGACCACTCTGAGCCCTGTGGAGGACCTAACTGGCATCTGCTACATCTGACAAGAACCGTTTATTATTTGTTTGGTGGCGCTGGGGCCTGAAACTAGGGCTGGGTGGCAGGCTGTCAGCGTCCTCTGTTCTCCCAGGCACCACTAGTAATGAGACAGGGTCAGATGAATGTAGGCAGTGTGTGTGTTTCCAAGACAAGCTGGGGCCCCAGCCACTCCTCACCTTTGCCCACAAAGTAGTCCTGGTAGTAGCGGGCGCCCAGGTCCACGTGCTCGATGCTGTACTGCCTGGGCCGGCTCTGTGTCCTCTGCTGCTCCTTGGGTACTTCCAGCACCGAGATGCTGGCATTTGTACGGTGGGTGCTCAGGGTGGGCTCAACCATGTGGGCCTCGCTGCTGCCCCCTGGGGAACCCACAGAGGCCCGGGAGAAGCTGACGTTACGTTCTCGCTCCCCCCCAATCTCATTGCGAAAGTGCGGGCAGCTAAGTAGCAGGTCGTTGCTATTGTCGTCCCCCAGGTCCTGCTCCAGGTTCTCTTTACAGTTCAAATCCTCCGTGCTGGTGAAGGCTGGGTCCAGAGTCCCCAGGCTGTGGGCCCGTGATGCTGTGAGCGTCACCATGGCTGAGGCAGCCGAAGCGGCTGAGGCCCCAGTGGTGGTGTTGCGCCTCTGGGCCACGGACACCCTGTTGGCAGCTGCCTCGTTGAGGTCAAACAGCATGCTCTGCACGTCAAAATGGGCAAAGCTCTTCTGGCAGACCCATGGCCTGCTGGCTTCTGGGGGGCTTCGACCTTCCTCAGTCTCTCCCAGAGGCCGGCCCACTTCCCCCTCGGGCTTACTGCTCCTCAGTTTCCTGAAGATGGACGAGTCCACAGTGTCCCCACTCCCCAGGCCCCGGATGGGTTTCTTCCGGGCCTTCTCCTTCTCCTTGAGAGGCTGTAGACTCTGGAGACTGTCTTTGGTGGACTGGCCGTTGCGGGGGTCTCCCTTTGCCCCACAGCTGCCCCCTGAGAGGGCGCCGGGGTCCACCCGCAGGAGCTCGCTGAGGTTCCGGGAGCCCCGCGCCTCCGGCTGCTCGCTTCGAAACTCATTGAGGATGTCAAAGAAACTCTGCTCTGGTACACCCTGAACATCGATGGAGGACGTGCTGCCATACTCTCGGAAGAGGGGCAGCACCCCTGGGTGCCGGGTCCCCCTCGGATCTCCGGGTTCCTCTACATCACACTCACTGAGGGTAATCTCACTGCTGCTCCGATGTCTCAGAGGGAGGAAGGCCCGGCCAGGGGACCGGGGCCACCCGTCCTGGAATTCTACATCTTTGGACCTTCTCCTGGACAGTCGATGGAAGGCCCTGGATCCTGAGGAGGCTGGGGTGCTGGAGGGGTGCTGTCCGTTCTGTAGGTTCCTCATGGAATGGGCTACTTTGGTGGTCTTCACACCATCTGTGTCCTGTGAGGGGCTGGGATTGCTTTGCTCTCTCAGGGCGTCTCGCTTGGGTGGCCAATCAGCCACTCTGGCACGCACTCCCATCTTGGGCATGGCAGGGGTGGTGGGGCTAGGGCGGGTAGTGGCAGTGGCTGGGCTCTCACCAAGAGGCTGGGACATGCTGCCATTCTGGGCCCAGAATCCCATGGGAGTGTAGTCCCCAGGGAGGATATCGGTGCTCCTGGCTCCACAGCTGGCAGCCAGGTCCACACCATCGTTAGGAAGGGGCCGGTAGGTGGTCATAGTCCTCGGGCGCTGGAGTGCTGCTTGCCCCTGGAAGTTGAGGTGCAACTCTATGGGGTCCCCTGGCCTTCAGCCATTGTTCAGGCCCACCAGTCCTGGGACAAAGGGTGTTGGCCCCCGAAAGTGCACTTGAAGGTAGTGAGCCTGCAGAGTCCAGTTCTTCACCATCGCTATGGACAGCAGCACAGTTGCAGCATTAGGAAGCAGGTATCATCCAGGGGGCTCCAGACGCAGTGGGCTCAGTGGGGCAGGGAGAGCAGAGGCCGCAGGCCACGGCCTGTGGGTGGTGCAGGCGTCTTCCCAGCCATGCTGCAAGAGGAGAAAAGAAAGAAGTGAGGTGTGAGCGGTATACGCTACTGCCCAGAGGCAGGGAACGTGGCTTTCTTTGATGGTGAAGACAGCTTTACTCACTTGAAGACTCGTTCTTATGGAGTCTGTCTGCCTGCTCTCTCTCTCCTTTCCTTTCTCAGACAAGGTCCTGCTATGCAGCTCTGAACTTGTAGAGATTCTCCTGCCTCTTCCTCCCGACTGAGTGCTGGGATTATAGGAGGATAGCACTGTGCCTAGCAAGAGTGTCTGATCATGTTAAAGGCAGAGGCGGGACCGTGATGGGTCTGCGACACCAGCTCCAGTACCATTAGTGCCTTGCCATTCCTGCTTCACCTGTTCATTGGTCCTGGGGACTGAACCTAAAGCCTGTGCATGCCAGGCAAGTGCTCTGGCACTAAGCTATACCACCAGCCACGAGACCATTGCATCCACAAATACTTTACAGGTCACTTCTCTAGTAGATGAGGTCGTAAAAAAAAAAAAATTTATTTACGTATGTGAGTACACTATTGCTCTCTTTAGACACACCAGAAGAGGGCATCGGATCCCATTACAGGCAGTTATGAGCCACCATGTGGTTGCTGGGAATTGAACTCAGGACCTCTGGAAGAGCAGTCGGTGCTCTTAACCGCTGAGCCATCTCTCCAGCCCAGTAGACGAGGTCTTTAAAAAAAAAAAAAAAAAAAAGATTCCACCACGATCTCACTTTATACCCACCAGAGTTCACAGGAATTCTTTATAAAGATTTATTTATTTCATTTATATGAGTACACTGTAGCTGTCTTCAGACACACCAGAAGAGGGCATCAAATCCCATTACAGATGGTTGTGAGCCACCATGTGGTTGCTGGGAATTGAACTCAGGACCTCTGGAAGAGCAGTCGGTGCTCTTAACCACTGAGCCATCTCTCCAGCCCACAGGAATTCTTTATTAGCCCGAAATAATCTGTCCCCCCCAGGTCCTGGTCCTGGTCTGTCATTTCAATGGGTCTTTGTTGAGTTAGTCTGCCCAAAAGAGGAGCCAAACAAGGTCCTCAGTGGTCTGGAGTATGCTCTTCCTGGGTCACCCACTCCATCACAGCCATCTTCCCTGCTTCCTATTTCCCTCGGGGCTTAAGAACACACCTATTTCTCTAATTCACAAATGGCTTCCTACCCCCTGGGTGAGTGGGAGACACTGATGGGTCCTAGCATCACAAGAGGAAGCAGGGAGGCTTGTCTCTCCATGGTACACCACTGTCTGCTTTCAGGACCACAGGTGAGCATTTCCTAACTGTTAATGAACCCTCTGCTTTTGCCCAGAGCCTTGCATCTGCTACACAGGCATACAACTGCTGAGCCACAAGCAGGCCTGCACTTTCATCCTCCTTTTCTTTTCTTTTTTCTTTTCTTTTCTTTTCTTTTTTCTTTTCTTTCTCTTCTCTTCTTTCTTTCTTTCTCTCTCTCTCTTTCTCTCTCTCTCTCTCTCTCTCTCTCTCTCTCTCTCTCTTTTTTTTTTTTGGTTTTTCGAGACAGGGTTTCTCTGTGTAGCCCTGGCTGTCCTGGAATTCACTCTGTAGACCAGGCTGGCCTCAAACTCAGAAATCCACCTGCCTCTGCCTCCCAAGTGCTGGGATTAAAGGCGTGTGCCACCACTGCCCGGCATTTCTCTTCTTTTTAAAGACATGTTTTCATATGTAGCTCAGGCTTGTCTTGAACTTGTGATGCTGTTGCCTCAGTAACCTCTGGAGGCCCAAGACTGTAGGAATACTAGGATTGTAAGTGTGTTCCACAATGCCTGGCTAGTTTTGTGTCAACTGGATGCAACTTACAGTCACTAGGGAGGAGGGAGCCTCAAGAAAATGCCTTCAATAAATCTGGTAGTGGGCAAGCCTATAGGGCATTTCCTTAGTGATTAATGGAGGAGGGCCTAGCCCACTACAGTTGATGCCATCCCTGGGCTGGTGACCCTGGTGTCTAAAAAAGTATGCTGAGCAAGCCATGAAGAGCAAGCCATAAAGAGCAAGCCGATATGCAGCACCCTCCATGACCTACGCATCAGTTCCTGCCTCCAGGATCCTGTCTTGCTGGAGTTCCTGCCCTCACTGGTTTTGGTAATGAACTGTTAACTGCGAATGAAATAAACCTTTTCCCCCACAAGTTGGTCACTGTGCTTCATCACGGTACAGAAACCCCAAGACAGGAGCATTAGTGAGAAACTGCAGTATGTATCCACGAAGTAAAAGGTGAGCTGGACATGGGTGGGGCAGCTGGGTTGCAGCCTCTGGTGACTGGTAGGTCCCACAGATGGAGATGTTCATATCCATGCATGGACTGACTCTACTATCAAAACCATCAGTTCAGGAACGCAGGATGCTTCCCAGGACGGCTGGTGCGGAGCTGTGCTCAGTGGAGAGTTGTGTGGCCCCCAGACTGCACAAAGGCAGATTTCTTTCCTCTGATGTCGGCACACTGGGGCTGTGTGTGACAACTGGTGACTCAGCAGGGAGCCTGGCTTGCTGTGGTGTGCACCTCCTGCCAGATGGGCTCTCCTGATGTTATTTGGCTTCTAGTTCTGTGGGCACTTCTAGTCAAACCTTGCTGCAAACACACACAGATGTTCTACAGGCCTGCGGCTCTGCACACAACTCGCCAGTGCAGTTCTGAGCTGAGTGGTCTCCACAGCCTCTGGAGCATGTTGAGTGTGTGCTATACAAAACAAACAAACAAAAACCCCCAGACCTCCTAGGTCTTCCCAATAGGGAATCCAGTTAGGAGAGACGCATGGGGTGTGCCCGAGAATCAAACGGCTAGGCTCCAACTGGGGTGTGCCGTGCCAGTGACTGACAGCATCCCAATCTCACTGTGAAGTGTGGAAATTCCTGCTTCTCCGTCACCATTGTCCTTCCAGGCTGAGCATCCAAAACTTAAAAATCGGAAACATTTTAAGTGTCACATGGGCATAGTGACACACATCAAGCCTAGCCCTGAGGAGCAGAGGCAGCGAGAATATGAAGTTCAAGGATGTCCTTGGTTACATAGTGCCAAGTCCTTGCACAGGAAACATTCATTCATTCATTCATTCATTCATTCATTCATTCATTCATTCATTCATTTTCAAGGTTTGAGTGTCAATATGATGCCACAAATGGAAACTTCCCCTGCTGATTTCTGGTCCCAAGCATTCTGGACTCCATTTGTACTCCCATTCACCAGCTTTGAAGAGACTTTGCCCCCCCCCCAACTCCCATTATGAAAACAGGGCAGGGTGCACTGAATCTGGGGGAGAGGAAGTAGTACATCTTGAACCACAGCACACCTGGGCCTACAGAGTGTCACTCAGTAGCAGGGGCACTGGCTTAGCTTTTCCTCTGGTTCCCTCTGGCTGGTGCTCCCCTGGTCCTTACCCATGCTTGCTCCTCTGGGCTGCCAGTGCTTCTGTGAGTTCCTCACTGGCTGTGTCTGTCTGAGATTACTAAGCTTCTGTGGACCACATTACCAAGAACTCAGCTGGGAAGTCTGAGTTGGGAAAGGCTGGGCAGCCCCAGAGTCAGCAAAGGCAGAAGAGAAGGGCGATGGCTAAGAGTCAGCAGGATCCACTGGGTGGAAAGTGTGCCGGTTTGAATAGGTATGGCCCACAGACTCAGGTGTTTGAATGCTTGGCCCATAGAGGGAGGTGGTATTAGGAGGTATGACCTTGTCAGAGGAAGTGTGTCACTGTGGGGGCAGGTTTTGAGGTCTCATATGCTCAAGCTATGCCCAGGGTGACACACAGTCTCTCCTTGTCGCCTGCTAGATCAAGATGTAGAACTCTTGGTTCCATCTCCAGCACCATGTCTGCCTGGATGCTGTCATGCTTCCTGCCTTGAAGATCATGGACTGAACCTCTGAACTTGTAAGCCAGCCCCAATTAAATGTTGTCCTTTACAAGAGTTGCCTTGGTCATGGTGTATCTTCACAGCACTAAAACCCTACGATAAAAACTGGTACCAGGAGTGAGGTATTTGTTGTGATAGGCCTGACCATGTTTTTGTTTGGAGGATTGTGGATTTGGGGACTTTGGAATAGGAAAGCAGTGGGATGTGTTAAGTGGGGCTTAATGGATCATCCTAGTAGGAACATGGAAGACATTGGTACTAAGGGTGATTTGAACTGGGGGCGGGGGGTGCTGGCTCAAGAGGTTTTAGAGGAGAATTTAGTATTATGCCTAAAGATCATTCATGTGATATTTTGGTGAGGAATGTGGCTGGGTTTTTTTGTTTTTGTTTCTTTTTGGTTTTTCGAGACAGGGTTTCTCTGTGTAGCCCTGGCTGTCCTGGAACTCACTCTGTAGACCAGGCTGGCCTCGAACTCAGAAATCCGCCTGCCTCTGCCTCCCAAGTGCTGGGATTAAAGGCGTGTGCCACCACTGCCCAGCAATGTGGCTGCTTTTTTTGCCCTTGTCCAAAGAGTCTACCAAAGGCTAAGGTAAAGAGATTTAGATTAATTGTAATAGCAAAGGAAATCTCAAAACAAAACAACCTAGTATAGACTCTGATCTGTGGTTCATTCTTATGAATAGAGTTTTGATAAAATGAAGCAAGCTAAGCAAGAAAAAAATACAAAATGTGTGGTTCCATGATTAAAGGAGCATCAGGAAGTGGGATGGAGCTAAATCCTGTGTTAAGGGATAGTAAATGGAATTAAAGGAGTAGAGACCTTGGGGCAAGATCCCACTCAGCTAAGCTTTCACTTTGTGAAAGGGAATTAAAGAAAAGCTTAGGTCTGGCTGTGCTGGGACATGCTTTTAATCCCAGCACTCTGAGCAGCAGATCTCTGAGTTCAAGGTCAGCCTGATCTATAGAACATGTTCCAGAACAGCTAAGCTTAGGCAGTAAAGTTAACCATCAAAACCAGAAAGCTGGTGAAGATGTAATTTAACTAGGAGGCCATGTTCCAGTCCCAGCAAGCAATAGAACTTGACAGCTTTGGCCACATAGTTCTGGCTTTAGAATCACAGA